CAAAATCTGTGGGTACTTACCAGATATATTTGGCTCCAGATTTCAGTGGCAGCAGATTAATGTAGAAGGGAAAAGGGAAATAGGTGCATTTGTAGGTATTATACAATGTCTGAATCTGTGTTGGTCACACAATACTAAGAAATGCTCACAAAATCAAGGAAAAAACAAGGACAGCCAGGGCTACCATCTAGTAATATAAATACAAAATTCCTATTACTTGGGTCAAAGGTTGTCAATAAAGAAATTAGTGAGTTTGTACCCAGAGTCCCTATTTGACATAGTTAAACCCTGATTAAGAAGTCCTCTCCCCTGATTATAGAAAAGTGTTGCTTCTTCCTGGATTGGCTTTTAAACTCTAGTTACTTTTAATTTGGTAACCTGAAATGCTGCCAGTATTCTGTGCATCTTATAGATGGTTGCTCCTAAAATATTACTTCTGTGATGTGCTTCATCAGGATTCTACCATTGTCTACTGGCAACAAAATTTAATCAGTTTAGAGCCATATGGTTCTGAGTTATCTGGAAAACAATGACTGAGAAATAATGCCCTAACAATCTTTGCATTTATCAACTGATTGCAAAACTAAAACTATATTTAGTTTCACAGAATCATCTTGCTTCTCACAGGCACTCAGTGACACCACAGTTCGGGGGAAAAATGTATAATTATAGCCTTGGTAGGAGCTCAATTAACTTTAGATGAATTTAGATGTCTTAGGTACATTTATTGGTTGGTATGCTCCAATGAATAATAATAATGTCTCAAAAATGTATTTGACTTCTGTTAATGAGTTTGTCATGCTTAAGTCATTAAACTTTTCAAATAAGCTCCAAATCATACTAAATCTGTCTTTCAAATATGCTTTGGAACAGAAATTAAAGCAATGGATTTGATCAGTTTTTAAAAGGTAAATGTTATTAAGCTAAGAATGTCATTTAAATTCAAATCCCTATTTCTGAGTATGCTGCATTATTTAAAGGCATTACAATTAATGGATAATATAAACAAATGTTAGTATATTAATACAACATTTAAAAAAATAAAAAACAAAAAAGCAGTGGAAACCTGAGTAAAAAGAAGTCAGGAAGCAGCTGAAAAAGAGACCGGTTCACTGTGAGAAATGTAAACCTCTCAGACAGTGCTACGGCCCCGAATCCAACAGCTCAGAAACAAGGCCAATTATTGCAAAATGTTAAATTATGTGGTGAAGCTGCAAACTTTTCAAAGAGTCATAAGAATGAAAGCAGCTATATAAAAAAGAGTCAGGGCTTCATAAACCTAAAATCTTTGTAATAATTACTATCTGAAGGAAAAGTTCCTTTAAAGTATACCAGACTCCTTATATGTACATTTAGGCTGTACATTTTATGATAAAGGGTTAGGATAATAAACCTCTATTATTGCAACTGACAAGTATTATCTTTTGATACGGCTTGCCTGCATGACTGTAGTTATTGACAGTAAATTGTTAACTTATTGCAAACAAATTCTCTGACATTCTACCTTTCTGAACTAGAGACAAACTCACAAGACACACAGAATCATGGAATTTAAAGAGCACACAGAAGTTTCAATAGACAATGTAGTAAAACTCCCTTACTCTTGGAAGCAAGTGAAGTGAAACCTAGAGGTCTTAAGTGATATGCCTAATGATTAAAAATGACTAAGGGCCATCAGGATTCTGAATGCTACTTTGTTGTTTTTTTCATGTTTTACAAAGCATCGCAGCCAGAATTTCTTCTGTTTCTGTTAGTAGGGGTTGACTAAATCTTTTGAACGACCATGGCCAGTATTTTCTCATTCATCACAAAAGACAAGCACTCATGCATTCATTCCCTAGTAGTAATGTTGGTACTGATTTAAATTCAGTGCCCATAATAGATGTTTACGGTTAAGGAGATCAACACAACTATATCAACTGGCAGACACATGGACAGAAGACCAAAGCACTTTATTCTGGAGGTATTTTCCTAACCCCCTTGCTCCAGAAAGGACAGAACATCCTATGTTTCCATTGCCCATACCCTACCTATCCAAGAATACTTTTCTCAACTGAATTTCTGAGTATAGGGACAAATTTCTTTAAATCCATATGTAAACACGTAAATATTATTTGTGACACAGCAAAAAAATACTGTACCAAAGCTACAAATTCTTTCATTATGTGCCTGAACAATTATTTTCACATTTGTATGTAATGAAGAAAATGTTCTTGACATTTTGTAGGGTAAATATTGTTTGACAAAAACCAAAAACACAGAAGATGTTACAAAATTATTTTTTATCTTAATCAAATTAGGATTGTAGAATGTAGAGAAATATAAGGAAAATTCTAAAAAGGAAATTGAGAAAGTATTATGTTTAACATAAAAATATGTTACTGAAGTGAGCATTTGACTGAGTGGTTAAAGATTTAAGACTACTGCATCTTACACTGGAGTGGTCTGGTTTTAATTTTTGGCTCTGGCTTCCAATTCTACCTTCCTGCCAGTGCAGACCGTGAAATGGCTCAAGTTATTGGCCACTCACATGAAGCACCTAGCTCCTGACTCCAGCCCTGGCTATTGGAGCCATTTAGTAGACTGAAGCTGTCAGCCCTTTTCTCCCTGTCTGCTTCTCAAATCTCTCATTCTCAAAATAACTAACTAACTAAATAAATAATTTACTGAGACAGAAAGTGGTATAAATCTTTAAAATAAAGCAGAAACAAAAAATTGCCTTGTTTCCCATGAATTTTATTTTCTATTATGACACAAACATAAACGCAAAATTTTCTGTATACTTTTGATGTAAAAAATGACTATTAGCTAACTATAGAAAAATCTATAGCTTATGATGACTCTATAAGACTTCAAATTTCTACTGATTCTCTAAAAAGGTTTAATATAATTATCAACACAATAGCTGGTATTGGCACTGCTGACCTTTCCTTTAAAGGGAAATTTCCCATTATACATATCAGTGTAATGGAATTTCTTTCCCTTTCAGATAAGGATGCTTTCAGGATTTATTTCTATTTTATTCTTCAGGCTTTATGACATTCAACTAAAGCTGTAAGTTAAGAGGATACTACATAAAATAACTGAAAGGATAAACTGAAGTTACAAAGGGTTATTACATCATGACTGATTCATATGCTTCAGAACATAATTTCAGAAAATATTAAAAAAAACATGATTCTCTTTTCTGTGGCTGCGCCACCCAGCTACAATGCGAACATTGCTTCTTTCTCTCACTTCATAACCAGCATTAGAGAAAACTATATAACTAAAGGTATAACTGATGATAAATACATGCTACAACACAAGATATTTTGGCCCTCAACTAGGCAATTTTAGTTTTTCCATTAAGTAGGAATCTTTTTTTGGAAAGCTAAATTTGTACCAGCATATTAGTTTAGCTTGTGATTAAAAGTTGCTATTTTTATAGGCAATTCCATAAAGGAATAAAATTTTTGTCATGAAAAGAACAGAATAAAGTTCACACAAATATAGAACAGGGACTTTTTGTTTGACTCATTAATACGGTTTTTTTTGGTCATACAAAAGGTATTTAAATAAGTAGTATGAAGGTAAATTTGTTTGTATATTTATCAAGACATTAGCTAAAACCTGGATTAGATTTTTGGAAGAAGATCAAAACAAAACAACAAGAAAAGCAATCACTTAAAAAGCCCATGAAACCTCAGAAACTCATTTATATTAGGATAAAACAACATATGGAAATATGCAATATCATGACCAAAGTTCTCTCATGTATAAAGAACAACTTTTGATGTTGTTTGAAATAAAAACATGTACAAGTTTAAACTTCAGATAACCCAGAAACTAAAAGGAATCGTATTTGAGACAGATAACAAAATTTAACATGGTTAAATGATGAATGCTTGTACTAAATATCCTTTGGAAGAACATGTCACATGTACAATACAGGGCAGTAACACATAGGAAAAGGAAGAATATGCATACTAAGTACAAGTCAACTCTTATGGGTAACAACTTAAGGACCCGGAAGTTCTCCAGCAGGATTATGCTAAGTATGACTCATGTCTGATAAAGGAAGCTGGTTAGTCACCATGATTACTAAAGACTACAACAGCAAGAAGAAACTGGGCCAGGGTAGAGGTATCTGTCTTGAAGTGGTGATAACCCTTAAGAGTTCCACATAGTAACAAGAGCAGTAAACTGCCTTGATGACGGTCAAGCTGAGCATGTAAAACCGCTCTAGAGAAACAGACAATGAAGTTCTACTTCTACTCCTAGATTTAAGAAAGTCTGGACAGAAATACAGATATGTGGGAAGCATACGGATAATGACCTCATTTAAAATAGTAAGATAATTTTTAAACTGAGATCATAGTCAGTTTCAACGAATGCTTGAAGAAAATTGGGCAGGGGGCAAAAGAGAAGAATGTTGGGTTTTAATAAATTTCACATGCTTAGTATTAGATTGCATTTCATTTAAAAATATTTTTCACTTAACAATCACCAAACTGAAAAACAAAACACAGAAAATATGCACAAAAATGTCTGTTTTAAAGGTATTCCTACGAAGACATCAAAATACCATCTATAGGCTAAAGTATTCAACCAAGGTTAGAGGGTTTTTTTTGGTCTTTGCTTCTGGTTAGTCATTCAGAAGCCATCCCGATTTGCTTTGCCTCTCTTTAGCTATTATACCACAGGCGGATTACCAGGTTGCAATGAAGGCTTTTATTACAACAGCAGTGAGGATTGGCACCACATGTGCAGCCTGGTAAAATGTTCTCATTATAGCTCCCCATATGCTTTAGTATAGAGACCCAGTAGAGAGGTATTTTCAGGGGGACTCTCAGATTTGGCCACCTCTGTAATCTCAGTGATATTCATACTCATAATATATTCATATTTGATATAGTCTTGATAGACTGAGTAGGGTAGTACTTGATGGTAACACTGAACTAAAGAAGGCTAACAGCAATGTCTAGTTAAGAATTCATGGCATCAGAAATGCTACTCACCTGTCTGCTGTGCAGGCTGTGGCAGTGGTTGGTTTAGATGTGAACTGTAGTGGACAGAAGGGACTGGACGATACTGAGGTTGACCAGAGGAATAGTGGCTTGGAGCACAATAACAGGCTGATATCTGGGATCATAAGTATTGAGGAAAAAGATAAATTTTACTCAGAACAGAGGTTTTTTTTTTTTTTTACTGTGCCAAATATTAGACTGCAATAATTCCTTCTAGCACCAATTATCTGAGGACACATTTTATTTTTAAATTTAACTGAACAAATTAAAAGTAAATTCAAACACCTAGTATATATAAAAGGACTTACAAATGTGCCTACCATCATACATAATTTCAAAAACAAACTAGCCTGTTGAAAAATGTATTGCTATCTCACTCAATTTAACTGCTAAATAGAATGCACTGTACAAATAAACCAGTTGATTATCCATTCCTACTCTAATGCATGGTTGTACTGGTTTTATTCTTTTTAAGATTTATTTATTTATTTTAAAGGTAGAGTTACGGAGTGGGGAGAAGAGAGATCCTCCATCCACTGGTTCACTCTCCAAATGGCCCGAAAGGCCGGAGCTGGCCCAATCTGAAGCCAGGAGTCAGGAGGTTCCTTCCAGGAGCAGGGGCCCAAGTACTTGGGCCACCCTCTGCTGCTGCTCCAAGGTGCATGAGCAGGGAGGAGCGGGACTGGAAGTTGAGTAGCCGGGACCTGAGTCAGCTTTACCTGCTATGTCAAAGTCCCAGCACAACTGGGTTTCTTAATTTTTTCCTTATATTTCTAATGTGAATTAAAATACCAAGAAGACTAGCTTGATTTATTTTTCCTTCAGGAGCTATTCATATCAGTAGTGAATTTTTCTTAAACTGACATATTTTGGGGTGAAGAATAATTAATCTAGTAATGTAGAAATATGTGATAAATTTACTTAAAGAGATTCATGGGTTCCTCAGGTTCTGCTTTTCTCATTGGGTTACTTCTAAGAAAACCAGAGACCTGTGGAGATCTCAAAGACTGACCATCTCATCTGAAAAATCAGCCACATAAAAAATTCCTAGCATAGTTGTACATCAAGCATCTCCCAAGTTTATTGTAGTTTTCCTGTCTTTGAAACATTAGAATAGACACAATACATATGAGAAGCCTTGATTTTTTTTCCTGGAGGTATCAGCAAGCAATAGGCAAATCTTTTTGTTTTAAAATGATTTATTTATTTACTTATTTATTTATTTGAAAGGCAGAGCGACACAGAGGATCTTCCATCTGCTGGTTCAATTCCCAAATGGCCTCAACAGCTAGCTCTGGGCTAGGCTGAATCCAGGAGCCAGGAAACACATCCAGGTTCCCCACATGTATTCCAGAGTCCCAAGCACTTGGGCCATCACCTGTATGAGGTTACTTCAGAAAATTAATGGAAAATTGAAGTTTATGAGGTGGGCATTTGGCTGAGTGGTTAGGATGCCCACATTCCATTTTGGAGTGCAAGGGTTTGTCACCTAGCTCCAGCTCCTGACTTTAGTTTCCTGCTAACGCAGATGCTGGGAAGCAGTGATGATGGCTCAAGCAACTGGTACCTTCCACTCAGCTGAGAGACTATATTAAGTTTCCAGATTTCAGCTTCAATCCCACCAGCCGAGCCCTGGCCACTGAGGCCATTTGGAGTGTGAAACTGGATGGATGGGCGCATTCTATCTCTCACATAAGTTAACAACAAAAAGGGAAAAGTTTGCTTTGGTGCAAAATATTTTTTTAAAAAATATTTACTTGAAAGGCAAAGTTACAAAGAGACAGAGAGAAGGAGAAAGATTTCCCTCCGCTGGTTCACTCCCCAAATGGCCGCAATGGCTGGAGTTGGGCCAGGCAGAAACCAGGAGCCAGGAATTTCTTCTGGGTCTCCCACTTATTGCAGGGGCCAAAGGACTTTGGGTCATCCTCTGTTGCTTTCCCAGGGGCATTGGCAGGGAGCTGGATGGGAAGTGGAACAGGGACATGAACTGGTGCCCACATGAGATGCAGAAGCAGCAGATGGCGGCTTAATCCCTTGTGCCATAGCACTGGACCAGTAAAATATTTTTGAAATCCATGCATATCAGGGGTCATCGAAAAGTTCATGAAAAATACGTATAATGAAAAAACTATGCATGGATTTCAGAATACTTTTCCATTAACATTAACTAATCTTTCAGCCCTTTCAATTTCATTCTTTAAAGAACTTTTTGAAGTAGTTTTGTATACATATGCAACATATATTACAACAATAACAAAAGAATGAAGAAATGGTAAGTGAAATTATGGTTACAAAATCACTATATGTTTATTCAGCTTCAATCTTAAATTTTATTAGATTGTGATAAGCTAAAGCTTATATACTGCAGTTGCTAGAAAAACACACACATTCACAAGATTCAAAACTATGCAGATAAAAAGACAAGAGAAGAAATAATATGTAATAATATAAAAGAGAAGAAAACACATAGGAATAACATATAGATACACCAACTGGAAAACAAACAGTAATAAAAATAATATAAAGGGTTTATTGACACTCCAACTTGATTGGATAAAAAGACAAAATCCAATTATATACTGTATATAAAACTCAAAATATAAATGTTGCAAATAACAGAAGAAGCCATACCATTTAAACATTACTCAAAGGAATGCTTAAATCACTCTATTAATGTCAGATAAAATAGATTTCAAGAAATGAGATAGTATAAGAACAGAGAAAAACATTTCATGATATGAATGAATATACTGGAAAACTACTGTAAACATGAACTGCTTAATGTATGTTTAAATACTATAAAAACTGACAGAATTTAAGGGAAGAACAGAAATATTTGAAAACAACAGCATATGAAAAAATGAATGATGATTTAAGTAAACTGATGAATAGCCTATATTCATTTAAAGTAGCAGACTTAGGGCTGGCGTTGAGGCTAAATGGGTTAAACCACTGCCTGCAACACTAGCATCCCATAGGGGCATTGGTTTGAGTCCTGGCTGCTCTACTTCCAATCCAGCTCCCTGCTTAAGACCTGGGTGAAGGCCGGCGCTGTGGCTCAATAGGCTAATCCTCCGCCTACGGCGCTGGCACACCGGGTTCTAGTCCCGGTTGGGGCGCCGGATTCTGTCCCGGTTGCCCCTCTTCCAGGCCAGCTCTCTGCTATGGCCTGGGAGTGCAGTGGAGGATGGCCCAAGTCCTTGGGCCCTGCACCTGCATGGGAGACCAGGATAAGCACCTGGCTCCTGCCATCGGATCAGTGCGGTGCACTGGCCGCGGCAGCCATTGGAGGGTGAACCAACGGCAAAAGGAAGACCTTTCGCTCTGTCTCTCTCTCTCTCTCACTGTCCACTCTGCCTGTCAAAAAAACAAACAAACAAAAAAAAAGACCTGGTGAAAAGCAGTGGAAGATGGCCCAACTGCTTGGGTCCCTGCATCCACGTGGGAGAACAAGGTGAAGCTTCTGAATCCTGACTTTGGCCTGGCCCAGCCCTCTTCACTGCAGCCATTGTTGGGGGTTAAACCAGTGGACAGAAAGATCTTTCTATCTTGCCTCCCCCCACCTCCCTAATTGTGCCTTTCAAATAAATAAATCAAAGACTTAAAGATAGGTGCTTGGTCTAGTAGTAAAGATGCCTGTTAAGACACCTGCATTCCAGGGCTGGTGTTGTGGCTTAATGGGTGAAGTCATTGCCTGTGACACTTGTATTCTATATAGGCACAGGTTCATGTACTGGCTGCTCTACTTCCGATCCGGCTCTTTGCTAATGGCCTGGGAAAAGCAGTGTAAGATGACCAAATTGTTTGGGTCCCTATCACCCATCTGGGAGACCCAGATGAAGCTCAGGCCTTGCCACTATAGCCACCTGGGGGAGTGAACCAGCAGATGAAAGATCTTTCTCTCTGTAACTCAGACTTTCAAATAAATAAATAAATTTTAAAAAACAAAACAGAAAAGACAGATGCATCCTGTAACAAAGTGCCTGGATTACTGCTAATGCAGATCCTGGCACGCAGTGGTGATGGCTCAAGTGACTGAATTCCTGTCACCCATGTGTGAGACATGGATTCAGGTCCCAGCTTGTAGCTCTGACTCTAGCAGGGCATTTGGGGAGTGAACTGGTAGATGGAATGTTTTCTTTCTTTCTGCCTCTGAAAAAAATTTAAGAAGTATTAAAAAAGAAAAAAAGAACTGTAAGACTTAATATTGTTAAGAGAGCAATACTACTGAAACAGATCTATATATTCAATGTAATACCTATCAAAATTCCAAAAGCTCTATTTTTGTTTTACAACAATGGAAAAGCCCATTCTCATATTTATATGGAACTCCAAGGGTTCTATCACAATCAATCCTGAAATAGAAGAACAAAGTTGAAGGATTCAGACTTCCCATTCTAAAAAACTTACTACAAGATACAATAATTAAAATAATGAAGTACTCCTATAAGGACAAAAGTACAGAATAATGGAATAAAACTGAGACTTGGGGCTGGCATTGTGGCGCAGCAGGTAAAGCTGCTGTCTGCAGTGCTGGCATCCCATATGGGCGCCAGTTTGAGTCCTGGCTGCTCCACTTTCAATCTAGTTCTCTTCTATGGCCTGGGAAAGCAGTACAAGATGGCCCAAGTCCTTGCAACCCTGCACCAGTGTGGGAGACTGGGAGGAAGCTCTTGGCTCCAGGCTTTGGATTGGTGCAGCTCCGGCCATTGAAGCCATCTGGGGAGTGAACCAGCAGATGGAAGACCTCTCTCTTTGTCTCTCTCTTTTTGACAGGCAGTGTTAGACAGTGAGAGAGACAGAGAGAGAGGTCTTCCTTCCATTGGTTCACCCCACAAATGGCTGCTACGGCCGGTGCGCTGCGCCGATCCGAAGCCAGGAGCCTTTCAAATAAACAAAAAATACATATTTTTTTAAAAGTACCTATCTAGTTATTATTGCATTGTTATTTGTTGAGAACACTTTTCTCATGGGCCCTGTGCTGAATATCAGTTGATGCTAAATGTAAGGGATTTTTCCTAGAGTCTCACTTTTATTTTAATGAGTTTTTTTTTAAAGATTTATTTATTTATTTGAAAGACAGAGTTACAGAAGTCAGAGAGAGAGAGAGAGAGAGAGAGAGAGAGTGTGAGTCAGCAAGCGTGGGCCAGTGCCATGGCTCACTTGGCTAATCCTCTGCCTTTGGCACCGGCACCCTGTGTTCTAGTCCCATTTGGGGCGCCGGTTCTAGTCCCGGTTGCTCCTCTTGCAGTCCAGCTCTCTGCTGTGGCCCGGGAAGGCAGTGGAGGATGGCCCAAGTCCTTGGGCCCCTGCACCCGCATGGGAGACCCAGAAGAAGCTCCTGGCTTTTGATTGGTGCAGAACCGCACATTGTGGCCATTTGGGGAGTGAACCATTGGATGGAAGACCTCTCTCTCTCTGCCTTTTCTCTCTCTGTGTAACTCTGACCTTCAAGTAAATAAATAAATCTTTAAAAAAAAAATCAAAATCATAATGAGATATTCTTTTATACCCACTAGGATGGCTATTATTAAAATACAAAAAAAAAAAGGGAAAACAATTGTTTTGGGAAGGATGTGGAAAAACTGGAACCCTTGTGCAATACTGATAGAAATGTGAAATGGTATAGCTGCTTTAGAAAACAGTGTTGTGAATCCTTAAGAAGTTAAACACAGAATTACCATATGATCCAGCAATTCCATTTATAGGCATATATCTCAAAGAACTGAAAACTGATAGTCAAGGTAATACATGTACTTGCATGTTCTTAACAGCACTATTTATAAAGCCAAATCTTACAAACACCTCAAATTTATGTATAAAAAGATAAATTGCATGACTACATTAATATGAAGTATCCAGAATAGGAAAACCTATAGCGACAGATGCAGGCTAATAATTGCTTAATCAATACAGATTTCCTTTTGGAGTGATCAGTTTTTTTTTGTTTGTTTGTTTTTGTTTTGTTTTTCAATTTAAAGACAGAGTTAGAGAGAGAGGTAGAGACAGAGAGAGGTCTTCCATCTGCTGGTTCACTCCTGATATGACGGCAATGGCCAGAGCTGCGCCCACCCGAAGGCAGGAGCCAGGAGCTTCTTCCGGGTCTACTACGTGGGTGCAGGGGCCCAAGGACTTGGGCCGGATCAAAGATGTTTTGAAACCAGAGAGGTGATGGTTGTACTACACTGTAAATTTATGAAGTGCCACCAAATCGTATAGTTTAATGGCTGATTGTAAAAACAATCCCCAACTTCCAAAACAAAAAGCCAACTAACACCTAAAATGATGGAATCCAAATTCTTATCAGACATACATGGAACATCCTCCAACAGAAATTTTGTGCTGGGCCAAAAATCAGATCAACAGATTCCAAAACACTGAAATTTTCTCTGACCACATGGAATTAAAAGAGAAGTCACTAATAATAAAGTATTTAGGAAGACCCCAAATATTTAGAAATTAAACAACATACTCATGGGTCAAAAAAGTCACTTAAAAATAAGAAAATATTTAACTACACAATAATAAAAACATAATATACAAGTATTCAAATGTATGGATTCTAACTTGAAATGGTGTTTACAGAGAATTCATAGCATTAGAAAACTTATATTAGAAAAATCTAATATCTAAGCTCATTGCTCCAAAAACAGGAGCAAATTCAACCTAAAATAAGAAGAAAATGATAAAAGAATACTTGAAATATAAAAAGAAATAATAAAGAAAATTAATGGAATCATAAGGTTTTTTAAGAACATTAATGGAACTGATAAATTTCTAAACTGATATAAAGGGACCAAAATTTATCAATATCAGGAATTTGAGAGGATACCACCATAGATCCTAAAGATATTAAATGTATAATAACGGAACATTTTGAATACCTTTATAAATTTAATAAATTTACATGAAATGGACATAAAATATCAAATTAAATTAAAAAAATGAGGAAATTGGTATACTTGTACTAAAAAACTGAATTTTCAAGTAAACCTGCCTGCAAAAATTCCAGGTAAGGGGCCGGTGTTGTGCAGTGGGTTAAAGCCACTGGTTTATGTCCCGGCTGCTCCACTTATGACCCAGCTATCTGCAAATAGCCTGGGAAAAGCAGTGTAAGTAGGATGGCCCAAGTGCTTAGGTCCCTGCCACCCACAGGAGCTCCTGGCTTCCTAGCTTCCGCCTGGCCTAACACTGGCTGTTGCGGCTACCTGGGGAGTGAACCACAAGATAGAAAATCTCTCTCTGTCTCTCCCTCAGTCTCTGTTACCTTCACCTCTCAAATTAAGAAATAAATCTTTAAAAAAAAAAATTCCAGGTACACATGAATTCATTCATTTAAGAATGAACAGCATTAATTCTACATGAACTTCTTCAGAAAATAAAGGAGTTCAATTCATTTTAAGACCAGTACCATCAGTTTTGAAACTACAATTGAGAAAATCACAAGTAAACTACAGACCTATTTTTCATAAACATAGTTGCAAAAATCCTTAACAAATATTAGCAAATACAATCCAGCAAAATTCAAAAATAAAGAAATAAAAGGCATACAGATCGGAAAGAATTTAGATATAGAAATGATCTTGAATTTATAAGAAGTCTATAAAATTACTAGAATAATTGAATTAAAGTTCACAGGCTACAAGATCAGTATGTAAAAATTAACCTTATTCCTTATATACTAGTAATGAACAAACAGAAAATGGAATTTAGGAACAATCCAATTGAGAGTGGTATTTAAAAATGCTAAGTAGTTAGGGATATATTTAATAAAGTATACGCAACATCTGTATAATGAGAACTATAGAAAGCTATTGAGAAAATTAAGAAACATTTAAATAAATAGAGAGCTATTATGTTCCTGCAGTGGGAGAGTCTACATTGTTAAAATGTTAACTTTCTCCAAAATGATCTATTTTTTTAAATGCTACCATATATCTTATAGTGCATTTATAATTTGTTTTTCCTATGCCAACTAAAAATAGCACACCTCTCAGAGCCAGAAGGAAATCGAAAGGTTACATAGTTTAACCATCCAACTGAAATCTTCATCTGTCATGTGGTGTTTAGCATGTGCCCAAAAATCTTCAGATGAAGAAGATAACTACATGTGTTATTAATACACTCTCACTAACTCCACCAGAACTTAAAAACAAGCTCTTTTAAGTTACGACTGATCTTAAATGAGAGGCTTTCATGAAGAGGAAAGATAAAAAAGCAATGTACCTGTGGTGAGGGCTGCTGAATATAACCCTGCTGCTGGAGCACAGGCTGGCTGACTGGATGTCCAGTGGGAGAATAGCCAGCAGTAGGGACTGGCTGCCCAGGTGGTAGTGGGGGAGGAGGAGGCGGGGGTGGTGGTGGTGGTGGAGGATGTGGCAGAGGGGCTGCTGTCATGATGTAACCAGACTGCTGTGGGGACTGAAGAACAACAGTGGACTGGAACATGGTGGCATGAGGGTCCGTACCATCGGCAGATGGCTGGCGGGCAAGACTCATGTGGCTGAACTGAGACCCAAGGCTATCCTGTTCAGAGAAAAATGAAAGAGGAAAAACAAAACAAAGAAAAGAAACAGTAAGCTGCCCATACATCATTCAAATTTATCAAATAAAACTGTTTCATATATTTTTAAGTAAGTTCCAGTAGTATATATTATGGAAATCACATATATCTACAACAGAAATGATAAAACAGAAGAGGAATATGAAGAAAATTGAGAACTCTTAAGGCAGGAGGGCAGAAATATTACAATGCTGTCATTACAAATTATTTATAAAATGTATCTAATGGAAAATGTATTACATGCAGAGTAGGACACAATATTTCACATTAAAATGAAAATATATTTATTTAAAGGAAGATGAAAGGCACATTAGGATATGGAAGGGAAACTGGACATCTTTACATTTCACAATTAACATTTTCTGAAAGGACTTCAAAGGATAGATAACGAACACGGTATTAATTACTCTTTAATGTATCTTCCCTCTTCTTACAAGGCTGCATTCAGCTTCTATGAATCTGTGTCTCTAATAACCAAAATTACTTGCAGAAATTAAATATACAAAATTCAACCATCCAGTCCATTCTGTAATCCCTCAGAAATAATCTGGACAAAAATTTAATTCTTAGGCAGTATTCTTCAGTCCGTTACTTAAATCAGATGTTAGACAAATGTAATGCAAACAACAGTTTCCATCTGTGTTTGCTACTTTGTGAGCAACCAAAGGTGCCCTGATAGATAAGGGTAATGATTTATGTGCCATCTGACAAATATTTCTTTGACTCCATAGCTCTTGCTAGTCTAGAAAATATCGCTAACAATGACAGCATGGGTTTAACTGAACTCCCCAGGTCTCAGGCAACCACAGACTGGCAACAATGTACACGGCACATTATGTTAGGAAGTCAACTTTGAAAAAAATGACATACAAAAATGTGGCAATTTGAGTCCTTGAATCAAAATGGATATTTCTGCAGTTTCTACAGTCTGTTTGTTTTTCCTAAGTAAATTAAGGCTAAAATAAATATATACATACATACATACATACATAATAGATTGGAAGGTGAAACCCAATTTAATGGTTTAAAACACTGTTTTATTCTTCCCAAGTGGTCATTCTTATATACTCTAGTACTATTAGCCTAATTTAACAAATGGGTTTAATAGAAAAGACAGGGGCTGGTGCTGTGGTGTGGTGGGTAAGGCCGACACCTGTGGGTAAGGCTGCCGCCTGTGGTGCCCAAATCCCCTTCTCCACTTCCCATCCAGCTCTCTGCTATGGCCTGGGAGGGCAGTGGAGGATGGCCCAAGTTCTTGGACTCTTGCACCCATGTGGGAGACCTGGAAGAAACTCCTGGCTTCAGAATGGCTCAGCTCCTACAGTTGTGGCCAACTGGGGAGTGAACTGGTAGATGGAAGACCTTCTCTCTCTGCCATTCCTTCTCTCTCTGTGTAACTCTGACTTTTGAATAAATAAATCTTTAAAAATAAAAAAAAACAAAAACAAAAACAGAAAACTATTTACAAATACAAAGCAATATGGCAAAATATGTTAAAAGATACTATAACTATATAGTAATGTCAGTGTTGCCTTGGAAAAAAGTCATTTACTTTTTCTGATGAAAGTTCCATTTTCCAAAACAATTTTGAGGATTTTTTGTTTCTAAAAATATTGATAATTATCTGCAGATATAGCTTGTACTCTGACTTGGAAAGCAATTCCAAAATGTGATGACCATATAGTCTGAAAAATAACAGTACTACTGGGAAAAATATATGGGTTGGTAAGGAAATTCATTTAAAGGAAATGAATATTTATTAAACTCCTACTTCATGTCAGGCACTACACAGAAGGCATTTATATTGTTTCACATGCATAGTAACTATACAGAGTCACAGAGCAAACACTTGGCAGTAAAAATCTGGGATCTTACTGAGACGTGTAACTTGGAATATACTTTGAATTAAAGGAGGTTAAGTACCTAGAGATCTTCTTTGGAAATACACATCGGAGCAAGTCCTCTATAATTGCATGATACAATTCACCCTAATAACTGTAACTGAGTCAACTAGACCTGCAGTACTGGGGAGAGAACAGAAAGCCTAAACCAGATGAAAGCTGTCATCCTTGGACTGCAAAGGTCCTGCACTGACCTCAATAAGAAAAGTACCTAAAATTTCTTAAGTACTGGAATGGTTAAACCGAAAATTATTTCATAATGAAAAAACAGGAAAAGATTATGGTTTAAACAGCAAGAAGCCAATGTAACCATTATTTTATTGAAGTGAATAAACATATATAATATGGATCAGAACAGTATTTTTGGTACAGATGAATCCTTGTCTTTAAAAAATTTTGAGGCCGGCGCCACGGCTCACTAGACTAATCCTCCGCCTTGTGGCACCAGCACACCGGGTTCTAGTCCCAGTCGGGGCGCCGGGTTCTGTTCCGGTTGCCCCTCTTCCAGGCCAGCTCTCTGCTGTGGCCAAGGAGTGCAGTGGAGGAAGGCCCAAGTGCTTGGGCCCTGCACCCCATGGGAGACCAGGAGAAGTACCTGGCTCCTGCCATCGGATCAGCGTGGTGCGCCAGCTGCAGCGCACCGGCCGTGGCGGCCATTGGAGGGTGAACCAACGGCAAAGGAAGACCTTTCTCTCTGTCTCTCTCTCTCACTGTTCACTCTGCCTGTCAAAAAAAAAATTTTTTTTTCAAAAGATCACATTATATTGATCACATTCTTAAGCATCTATCACACATCTACCCACAGAAACAATGCAGGAGGTGAATAGAGATATAGTACCACGGAATACTGCTGGGTGGGTGAGACTGGCAGGAGCGGGGATGGGTAAGGGGCTGTAGAGCACTGAATAGGCTGTGAAGAGGACTGCAGAAGATGAACAGGCTAAAGAATAACAGGTTGGCAAACAGTGTTAATGTCAGAATAAAATGTTAGAAGAACTGCATAGAACAGAAATTTATACTATCTGGCAGTGTCTTTTACTACATTTACAAAGTCATTCAAAATACAATATAGGGAAACAATAATACTAAATGAAGAAACTCTAAATAACAAAATCTTTGAGAACAAACCTAAGGACAAACCTACGCTACAATTAGAATAATTTGTGATAAAAACACTTCTTTAACACAGTTTAACTGAAACAGGTAATTTTTAGACATTCAGAATCTTATCTAACCAAGATGTCTGGATTGTCAGCAAAGCAAAACTGTTTTTCCTTATTTCCTAGGAAGGAGTGGACCTATTTAGGTATTTACCATGAAAAACTTCATACTTTCTTTTCATCACACGGTAATAACTAACACAATATACTTATAACCATTTTTCATAAGGCAAGATTAAATGCTATTTTAGAACCAAAGTTAATAAAATTTAGTAATTTTATTGAAAAAAATCTAACTGTGGGTATTCATGAGTAATAGCCTAAGGTCCAACACACACATATACCCAGACAAATGTAATCACATAAACACATCTTTTTTAAATATGGAAGAGAACACTTTTCTTGTAACTAAATACATTTTTATTACTGGAGTATGTGTTAGGAGCAGAGAAACCAGTCACATGAAATTGTTAGGCACTAATGAAATATTCCTGTTTGAAGATCAAAAAGAGAAAAAATGGGCCGAAGCCGCAGCTCACTAGGCTAACCCTCCGCCTTGCGGCGCCGGCATACCGGGTTCTAGTCCCGGTTGGGGCGCCGGATTCTGTCCCGGTTGCCCCTCTTCCAGGCCAGCTCTCTGCTGTGGCCCGGGAGTGCAGTGGAGGATGGCCCAAGTACTTGGGCCCTGTACCTGCATGGGAGACCAGGAGAAGCACCTGGCTCCTGTCATTGGATCAGCGTGGTGCGCCAGCTGCAGCACACCGGCCGCGGCGGCCATTGGAGGGTGAACCAACAGCAAAAGGAAGACCTTTCTCTCTGTCTCTCTCTCTCACTGTCCACTCTGCCTGTGAAAAAAAAAAAAAAAAAAAAAAAAAAGAAAGAAAGAAAGAAAAGAAAAAAAAAGAAAAAAGAACTTTTACATTTACTCGATGTACAGAAAAAAGTTTTTGTTTTTTTTTTAAAGATTTATTTGTTTACCTGAAAGTCAGAGTTACACAGAGAGAGACAGAGAGAGAGAGGTCTTCCATCCACTGGTTCACACCCCAGATGGCTGCAACAGCTGGAGCTGTGCCAGACGAAGCCAGGAATTTCTTCTGGGTCTTCCTCATGGACGTAGGGGCTCACGTGCTTAGGCCATCTTCCATTGCTTTCCCAGGCCATAGCAGAGAACTGGATGGGAAGTGGAGCAGCCAGAACTCAAACAGGCGCTCATATGGGATGCCAGCACTACAGGTGGCAGCTTTACCTGCTACGCAACAGCACTGGCCCCCCAAAAGAAGTGTTTTTAAGAATGAGAACATTTTGGGATGGGAGCTTTCCTGGCAGTTAAGATCCTGATTAAGACACACATATCCTGGGGCTGGTGTTGTGGCACAGAATACCTGTGGCACTGGTAGCATACCTGTGACATTGGTAGCATTCCATATCGGCACCAGTTAATGTCCTGGCTATTCCACTTCTCATTCAGCTCCCTGCTAATGTGCCTGGGAAAGCAGCGGAGGATGGCCCAAGTACTTGGGCCCCAGTACTCATGTTGGGGACCTAGATGAAGCTTCTGGCTCCTGGCTTCAGCCTGGCCCAGCCCTGCCCATTACATATGTTTTGGGAGCAAACCAGTAGATGGAAGGTCTTTCTGTCTCTCCTTCTCTCTCTTTAACTTTTTCAAAATCTTACAAAAAAGATACCCACAACCCCAGTCAGAGCACCTGGGTTAGAGTCCTGGCTCTGCTCTTAACTCATTTACTGCTAATGTAGTGGCAGTGACTCAAACAGCTGGACCCACATGGGAAATCTGCATTTTATTAAGAGCTCACAGTTTCAGTCTGGTCTAGCCCCAGCTATCACAGGCATTTGAGGAGTGAACTACCATATGGGAGCTCTGTCTCTCAACCAACCAAACAAACAAACAAATATTTTAAAATCATTTTAAAATATTGGGAATACAGTTAGCCATCTATGAGCTAACACTGTCATGTGATTTAACTTCCCAATTTTATAAGTTTATTATAAAGAGGAAATATACATATTGGTCTAAAGACTGCTGTAATGAACTTTATAGAAGCAATCAGAGAAATGGAGTTTTCCTTATTTGATGAAAATTTTTTGTTAAACTATATATTCATGAATCTCCCCTGGAAAACATCTCTGAAGACAATAGTTTAAAAATGCAAGATAAACTAAGCCGGCGCCACGGCTCACTAGGCTAATCCTCCACCTTGCGGCACCGGTACACCGGGTTCTAGTCCCGGTCGGGGCACCGGATTCTGTCCCGGTTGCCCCTCTTCCAGGCCAGCTCTCTGCTGTGGCCAGGGAGTGCAGTGGAGGATGGCCCAAGTGCTTGGGCCCTGCACCCCATGGGAGACCAGGATAAGTACCTGGCTCCTGGCTTCGGATCAGCGCGGTGCGCTGGCTGAACCAACGGCAAAGGAAGACCTTTCTCTGTGTCTCTCTCTCTCACTGTCCACTCTGCCTGTAACTACTTAGGCTGGCATCCCAAGGTCCAAGATAAACTAATGGAATAAGATTGCTCAGGGAATAATCTAAAGAGAAATCTTTATGACAACTAAGATGTATGACAACTAAGATGCATTATTAACACAATATTAACAAGATGGTTTCTAAAAAATGAAATGCTAAGATTAACTTAGCATATAGAAAAAAAAGTGAAAGCACTAAAAAACGGTAACAGCTGCAAAGATCTATAAGGTAGCCTCTGGTTCCTCACAAATCGCTTGACTAGAAATAAGCAAGCTTTCCTGAGATAACAGTGTGTATTACACAAAAGGAGCTGAAGTCTCTTTAAAACTTCCAAATACAGGCTATTTTAGATAGTTAGATAATAATTAAAATGTAACTGTCTTCTAGACAACTTGACATTCTATTTAAGTGTCAGATGAAGCAAAAGCTTTGATCTGTTGGTGTATAATAGAAGGACTATGAGCACCAAGGTCTCCCAGAGTGTCAGACGGCAGTAACTGTGGGTTAGAAGACTGATCAAAGTAAAATTCTGACACCACTAATGGAAGTTAAAGTCTTAGCACTTCCTTTTCCTACCTAAAATACAACTGGTTGCAAAACAATAGTCACCTAAAAGTGATTGATTTTTTTTTTTTTACACAGTATATTCAAGAAATGCAGTCCACCTGAAGGTTTTGGCGATCATAATTTTCTTATGTTTGGTTATTTGAAACTTCATGAATGAATGAGTGGGCAAGACAGTATCATTTGCTCTTTAGTATCTATTTCTGTATCTGATGACATATTGCCTGATACACCTGAGGCAATGCCAGGAAACTCACCCAATGAGTTGGATACATACTACAATACTTCCAAAAATCTCAAAAAGGTATCTGCTTATAAATTAGGCTGCTTATACATATACTTCATTTAGGACTGCCTCTGATAATGAATCCAGACAGTTATTGCCAAGAAGTACATTCATTCTTAGAATTTTTTGAATCTGTCAGACTAAGATTATTTACACTGAATTAAATCCAAATGAAAAAAAATCTTAGAAGGTTCATGGTGAGATACAAAGTCAGCCACACAATAGCATGACAAAGAGAAAACTCTTTGGGACCAAGGTGCTTGAAGCCAAGAAAGACAAAGCCAAGGAAGTTTCATGTTTGAATGAATGTAACTAAAAAGTGTTGGGAAGGTAATTTGTGAGTCTTTAGAAACAGTATAACCTACACATACATGAATTCATTTGTATGGTCTTAGAAGTATATCAGCAACTTCTAAGTAATTTTGTTTTAATAAAATTGCCTTGCCCAGTATTAGCAGTCTTCACTGACAGAGGTACAACTATTTTCATACTATTTGATAATATAATTAAACTGCTTATATGTATATTCTTTATCCTTGAAATACAAATGGTAAGGATCAACACTGTGGAATAGCAGGTTAAGCAGCAGCCCGCAATATGGGCATCTCATATATGTGCCAGCTAATCCATTTCTTATTCAGTTCCCTGCTAATGTGTCTGGGAAAGCAGCAGAAAATGGCCCAAGTCCTTGGGCTCCTGCACCAAATGTGGGACACCTGGATAAAGTTTCTGGCTCCTGGCTTTGGCCAGGCCCAGCCCTGGTCACTATGGCCTTTGGGGAGTAAACTAGAGGATGAACGATCTCACTCTGTCTCTGTCTCTTCCTCTCTCTATAACTTTGCCTTTCAAGTAAATAAGTAAATATTGGGAAAAAAAACAAAAACAAATAATACTTGTGAGCAAAACAAAGTTTTTCCAGATTCTAGTTTTTTTAAACCATATTTCTTTCTTTTTTTTTTTTTTTTTAACAGGCAGAGTGGACAGTGAGAGAGAGAGACAGAGAGAAAGGTCTTCCTTTGCCGTTGGTTCACCCTCCAATGGCCGCCGTGGCCGGTGCGCTGCGGCCGGCGCACCGTGCTGATCCAAAGCCAGGAGCCAGGTGCTTATCCTGGTCTCCCATGGGGTGCAGGGTCCAAGCACTTGGGCCTTCCTCCACTGCACTCCCGGGCCACAGCAGAGAGCTGGCCTGGAAGAGGGGCAACCGGGACAGAATCCTGCATCCCGACCAAGACTAGAACCTGGTGTGCCGGTGCCGCTAGGCGGAGGATTAGCCTAGTGAGCTGCGGCGCTGGCCAAACCATATTTCTTTCATAAGAAATTACCCTCCCATTTTCTCACCAGTGGACTATTTAGATAGTTTTGCACAGAAGAACAGATATATCTGTGGATCAAATATCTTTGATATGCTACACAACATTTATGAGTTGGAATGAAAGTAAAAGAATTTATACTCATATAAACAATTTCTCCAAAGATGGATAATACATTTTTAGGGATGAAAAATTGAATGTGAAAATGTATGTGTAAGTTCTAACATTTATATAAATTCAAGATATTATTATAAGTACTTTTGGGAATTCTAATTCTCAGAATTTCTTTGTATCTCTCAGGGTATTTGGAATTGCTGGACTGACAGACAACAAGTTTCTTTTAATTGCCTCATTTGTTGAAACTTAACTCCCTTTGCTCATTGCACAAATGAACAAATCTTAGTTTTGTTTTATTCTTCCTCTTGCCCTTTTCTTACTGTTATAAAGTAGGGATAAAATACCCACCAGATAGACTCATAAAAGAAAAACATTCCTTTCTTTCTAATAATAAGTGATTACTGGTTGAAAAGCCCTTCTCTTCCTATGAGTAATGAGTGAGACATCACTGGTGGCAGATTAAAGATGTAAGAGATACTACTTGGGAAATCTCAATTAGTAAATTTACTCCCAAATATGCAAAGGCAGGTGAACTGAGCATTATCTAATTGTGGAGAGTTGCACCTGTGAGAAGATGTGATTAGCTGCTGGTTGTTGAGGTGGTGGGGGTGGCAGAGGTTGCTGTGGAGGTCCAGGCACTTGTGTTCTAACTGGTTGTTGGGTCATAGGAGGATTATACACAACTGGACTCCCATCCGGGTTTATGAAGGGCTGACCTGAAAAATTTTAAAAGGAGGAAAAGCATTCATTTATAATTGAGATTTATAATAAGCCATTCTACTAACAATTTACAATATTTCCATAAATGCCTTAACTACAGCTTCAAAACCCCCAATCTTTAGAATATTCAAATGTGCTATTAGAGCATTTTACAAAGATATATTGTCCCACACCCTACTTACTTATATACTTACTTACACTATTTACATTATAAAGTTACTTTATAATATATACTATTTTATGAATAACTCTGAAACACATTTTGTTCAAGGGATTCAGTTACAGGATTATGGTCCTATAGAGCTATAATATATTTCAGTCTAATAAGAAATATCTAATTTATTGGATATAGTGTTTTTTTAATAAATATATGCTTCACTTATAGAATTAAAGCTGGCTGAAAATTAAAATAATTGACAACTAAAACTTCAAATGACAAAATGTCATTTTATAATTACTAATTTGCTGTAAGTTGTAAGTAATTTCTTTTAAATTCTAAATAATTTTTAGCAGTTTCTTTTCTATTTCCAGTAAGTTTTATTCAATGATAAGATATAAAACTAGAGAGAATTTTATTATTTCTTCGGAGGCTTTGTTCTTATTGCTTAATAATTATTAGGAGGGAAAGATGGGTATTTTAAGTGCCTGAGTAAAAGAAATACTACTCCTTCTTACATGTATTATAAAGTTATTTTAAGAAGAAACATATTATTTTATAGAAAAACAACAAACAAGTAAAGGTCAAAAGAAAAATAAATCCCCTATGATTTTACAGTTAACATTCCAGATATAGAATTCTTTTGTTGAAGGTAAAGAATCAAAGAAAAGTATTTTTTTTCACTATACAGTGGAATATTAAAAGGAAAAGAGAAGACTACCTTATGAACTCATTTAAAGTGAGGAGAATGCAGAGAAAGAGAAATTTGACTGACAAGCACTTTCTTAAATGATCTTTAAAAACATTCTTTCTACCATGGTAAACTCTTCTCCATTTTGGGGGGAACATTTATGATCAACAAAATATTATTTGGGGAGGACTACTACACTAGTCTATACTTATCAAGCAGATAGTCCTTCCAAGTAAAATTATTTTCATCAGCATACTGGTTTATGTAATGGTTATAAATAACAAAAAACAACTTGTATTGATTGTTAAATAATTTGGGAAAAATACAGAAGATTTCGGTGAAAGCAGGTTCAACAATAATTTTATCAAAGATTTTATGAAAAAAACTGTATGTATAGTAACATTGTTCTAAAAAACTCATTTAAAATTAAGACCGCAAATGAATCTTTCATGTTCCCAAAACCAATAATATGTTCTGAGTAAAAAATAATAGGAAATAGTAAAATATTAAATCCAAATAGCCTTATTCAGAAAATTATTGTTTAGTAACATAATGCCACAAGACAAGAAAAGCTATTAAGCAAAAACTGAACTAATTTCTGAAAAATCATTTATAATAATATAATTCTTGTAATGGAAATAAACACTTGAAATATTTTACCTTAAAGAGAGATCTGAGGCCGGCGCCGCGGCTCACTAGGCTAATCCTCCGCCCAGCGGCGCCGGCACACCGGGTTCTAGTCCCGGTCGGGGCGCCGGATTCTTTCCCGGTTGCCCCTCTTCCAGGCCAGCTCTCTGCTGTGGCCAGGGAGTGCAGTGGAGGATGGCCCAAGTGCTTGGGCCCTGCACCCCAAGGGAAACCAGGAGAACCACCTGGCTCCTGGCTTCGGATCAGCGCGGTGCGCCGGCCGCAGCGCGCCAGCCATGGTGGCCATTGGAGGGTGAACCAACGGCAAAAGGAAGACCTTTCTCTCTGTCTCTCTCACTATCCACTCTGCCTGTCAAAAAAAAAAAAAATAAATAAATAAAAAAAAGAGGGAGACCTGAATAAAATCTGAAAGTAATGAGTTCTTAAGCCCAAAAGAAAACATAAAGTCTGGAGATACTAAGAGATCTGACACTCCCCCATATCTGCCTTGTTCAGTTACTGCTAGTAATGTGACATCATCAGCTAGGTCTGTGAGTTTTACAGTAAAGTTACCAAGAGCTCCAAGATTATCCTCATTACTTGCCCAATGACTATGCAACATTATTTTGAGTAGAGACAAAGACTTCTTCTGATCTCTTAAATGATCAAATTTTCTCTCTATAAAATCCCATTTGCCAGTCTACATAATGAAATATATTGTTTATTTTTATGAAATATATTGTTAGCTACAGTTTCCTTACCCCTTTGGTTCAGTTTCCCTATCTATATATAAGGATTTTACCTATCTCAATAAAATATTTAAATACCTAATGTATTTAAAATACCTAATACAGTACATGGGACTAAGGAAATGCTCAATGAATATCATTAACTAAATGTTAGAATATGTGTTGTCAATATTAATTCATAATGACAACCCATTTTCCTTCCTTCAGTAGAAAACAATTTTAGGACATTTGTGCACATTCTGAAGGACAATTAATTAAAGGTTTCTTTCAATTTCATCACAAGATGGATAAGAGCTGCTTATTTGGCCCTTCATAAAATGCATGCTATTTTCTCCAGTATAAAATTACTGTATCATTGAAAGCCCTTTCAAAGAGGGCTTTCTAAGAAATGAAATTCATTTCTAGGAAATGATTTATTCTTTAATTATAGTTAGGCTATTATTTGGTGTAGAAGATATCATGTTTATAACATTTTCTACTTTTTTAAATTAAAGTTCTCAAAAAATCATAACTGTTCATGAAAAATGAAAAGCTGGCAACACATATACAGACAATACATTTAATAAATATCTTTTAATTTTCAGATAACTCCTGGTACTTTTTTTTGGATACCAACCTGTTTGTGGGTTGATCAGAATACTGCCAGGTGGTATGCCTGTCGCTTCCAAGGGAAGCAAAAAGAAGCTAGTGCTAGGAGATGCGACTTGCCCATTTAGGCCACCATCAAAGGAAAGAGAACTATGAGTGCTGACAGTTGGATAGACGACAGGTGCGCCATGAGAAGACTGGCTGAGAGCTGTACCTGGAAGAGGCTGCTGGATGTGAGAAAGAGAGCCCGTAGATGACCCTACACTACCAGAAGACTCAGAACCTAGGGGAGGAGTAATGAAAAAATATGGATTTTTTAAAACCTTATATTAAAACACAGGTTTTAAAAATTTAACAACAAAATTAATATTGCATAACATGCAGTTACCACATGAAAGCCACTGGCTATTTCTGATTTACTGTTCAATTTTGCATACCCACCCCATCACGAATATGTTTAGAACAGCAAATTGATAACATAAATTGTCAGAGTCATAGCCAAGCATGCAACTTAAGCAAGTTTTTAACAACACCAGCCACAGACAGTCACAAAAAACACATTATCCACATTCCCAAAAGGACAAGGTTATGTACATTTTACCTTTTAGAATAACACCTAGGAATATAAAGATTACAATTTTCCCCCAGGAAAAAGAACTTAGCATGGCCAAATGACCCAAACCTCTTATTTAAGAAACCCCTTATGTATAAGAACACAGAAAGATTAAGAGTAGGAAATAACAGAAATGACAAACTCTCTATTAAGAGAAATCACTGTCAAGTTTCATTGCAGAATTTCACTTCTCATTTATAGCATCTTCCTATAAATTTTTAAATATTATTAAAGGAGAGATAGCATGAAAAAATTCCAAGTATTTATACTGTCATCAGCTTAAACTTTACTGTTGATTGAACTTAATAAATTAATTTGATAATTGATATTTAATTGCTTTCATACCTGTAATCTATTTCATTGGCTTTTATACAGAGACTGAAAATGTCATTCAGTTTCAGCATTATGGCTACAGGTGCACAATAAGACAAAGAAAGAAGAAAAAGGTCTGGATAACGTATATGATTAAGCTGTGAACAAAGGAGGTGACTGAGGGGGAGAAATAATCTTTAATAATACTTCTTCACATCTCTGAAAATAATATAGGTTATAAACAGAACATGTTCACCAAATGCTTTAATTTGGCAGCATGTCCAAATAACACTCTCATAATATATAAATTTTTTCTATTAAGATTACCAACTGGCCATTATTCAAACAAATGTATTATATGGTACACAGGCAGATTTCTTATATTCACAAGATTTACCTGTCTTTAGCAATATCCTATCAAACACTATGACATTTTGAATACTCATATATCTATGTTGTAACTTAATAAGGAGGCAACTCTTCTCATAAGGCTTAACAACTGAAAGTATTGACTATAATTAGGTATTAAAAATTATTTACCTTCAATTATCTTTCAAATATTATCTGCATACATCATATGTCAAGGATAACTCAAAAAGCTGGGGCTAAACAGCCATTTCTAACTTTCATGCTTATTTTGGGATAAAAATCAAAATCTACAAGGGTCCTCAAAAAAACCATGAACTCTTTAGTTTTGAAGACAGTTCATGAAAATGAGAAAAGAAAATGTTTTGAGCCAATATATTCTAAAAGTAATGCAGCTAGGGGAATGAGAAGATAATTAAAATTTCAAGTGAATAATGCAAGGGGGCTTCCAAAAGTTCATGAGAAATCCCTAATATCTTTTAGTTACATTTCCCATGAGCTTTTAAAAAAAAAAAAAAAAAGATTCATTTTATTTATTTGAAAGACAGAGTTACAGAGAGAGGTAGAGACAGGGAGAAAGGTCTTCCATCCACTGGTTCACTCCCCAGATGGCTGCAATGGCTGGAGCTGCACCCATCCGAAGCCAGGAGCCAGGAGCTTCTTCCAGGTCTCCCACCCAGGTGCAGGGGCCCAAGGACTTGGGCCATCTTCCACTGCTATCTCAGGCCATAGCAGAGAGCTGGATCAGAAAAGGAGCAGCCGGGACTAGAACCGGTGCCCATATGGAATGCCGGTGCTTCAGGCCAGGGCTTTAACATGCTGCACCACAGCGTCGGCCCCCATGAGATTTTTTTAAAAGCAAGTTTTTTTTTGTTTCAAAAACAATTTATTTATTTTAAAGGCAAAGTGTTGAGAGTGCGAGGAGAGAGAGGATGAGAAAAAGAGAGAGAGAGAGAGAGAGAGAGAGAGAGAGAGAGAGAGAGAGAGAAATCTTCCATCTTCTGGTTCGCTCCTCCAATTGCCAGAACAGCAAGGGCAGGACCAGGCTGAAGCCAGAGCTAGGTCCAGGTGTCCCATGTGGGTGGCAGGGGTCCAAGCATGTGGGCCATCATCTGCAGCATCCCAGATTTAGCAGAAAGCTGTATGGAAAGCGTAGAAGCTGCGACAATACTGGCAATCTGATTAGTGATGCTGTTATGGGATGCTTATTGGCACCACAAGCAGCAGCTTAATCCCATGCTATGCCACAACGCAGGCCCTCCCATGAGCTTCTTGAAACCTCCTTGTAGTTACATCATATTATTTTTCTTTGGTTTTTAATCCCTCAAAAACTTATTAGCAATTTTATTGATTTTTGAATGAAAATGAAGGATTTTAAGAAATGCTATCAACAATTGATAGCATTAGCTGAAAATGCAATCAGCATTGAATAACCCTCAGTGAGAAACCATGCCTTCCAACTAGGAATAAGCAATGAAGAAGTTTCAGTCACCTCTGGGCACTCAAACAAAACATGAACTACAAGGAATCTACCTAGTTAAAGTTTATATCATAAAAGACTAGAAATTTTATTTCAGTTGTTAGTAAATCTCTCTCCAGGACAGAGTGAATCCTAATGTCAATAAACATATTGTCCCTGAAGTACTTTTGAGGTGTTCAGTGCACTGAAGGTAATAATTTTACATTTTAGGGTAATTAGCAGCATACTAAAAACAGCTAAGACAACATTAGGAAAACTAAAATTTTCAATGCATAGTTCTAAATAGGCACTTATACCTGTTTTTGAGAGCCTGCCTATGCTTTTGCTGCTTCCAGAACTATCACCTCTTGTCAGGACCGAGATTCCACTAAAGCTGCTGGCTTTGGTTACAGCAGGCTTCAAGTTTCGGAGGGAGCTGTCTGAATCTGTGCTGCTCCAAGGTCGTGGTTCTGAATACTTCAAGTCATTGTCAGTGCTGCTTTGATGGCTATTTGTTGATCTCCCTGAAGCATCTTTATTAACTCTGTAATTTAGAAACAAATCTTTGAGAAGCTACTAGGGAAGAAAAAGAAAGTAAAGAAAAAAATTCCTTTAAATTTTCCATACTGTATTGAAAACATGCTTCCAATACCTAAATATCTGGCGCCTCTGTTGAGTAGTACTAGCGTCCTCATCTTGGATTCTGTTGGTATTTTAATAAAATACTTCCATAAGACATTTCAATTTTTATTAGCATCAGGCAGCTATCAAAACAGATGTTAAAAATTCCCTTACCTTTTGTCAATAATATAATTCTCTTGGGAACACAGAGACTAGAAAGAAAGAAGAGATACAAAAAATTGAGCTTTTGTCAAATTCCATCTGAAAGCCAATGACAACAAAAATCATGTGTAATAAGATTGAATAGTGTTCCTTCCAGTTCAAAATGGTGATGGGGTACACAAATATATAATAGAATTGTTTTCTGGTTTATGGATGCTATGCTTATTTTTCTTTAAGACTTATTTATTCATTTGAAAGGTAGAGTTAGAGAGAAAGACAGAGAGAGAGACAGACAGACAGAGACAGAGAGATCTTCCATCTGCTGGTTCACTCACCAAATGGCAGCAATGGCCAGAGCTGGGACAATCCAAAGACAAGAGCCAGGAACTTCTTCTGGGTCTCCCACATGGGTACAGGGGCCAAAGCACTTGGGCCATGTTCTGATGCTTTCCCAGGTGCATTAGCAGGGAGCTGGATCAGAAGTGGAGCAACCCATACAGGATGCCAGCATCACAGGTGATGGCTTTATCCACTATGTCACAGTACTGGTCCCAATGCTTATTTTTTTAACAAATACGTATTTTGAAGACATTCATTTAGTGGTTCAAATTAATTTGAAATTCAAATAGTGTCTTCCAAGTGAGTGAACTCATTTTCATTATCATATACACAAGACAAATACCAATCTGCATAAGACATATGCAGATTCCACCACTTTGAATTAACAAACATTGGATCACTGGTGCTTTGGCTTGTGGATATAGCAATAAATCAGAAGCACTTTCAGTGCTGTTAATTAGGCCAGGCAGTGATCATTTTTGTTTGTATCACTACAACAGTTTTCTAGATTTTCAGCTGTGAATTTTTGTCCTTTTCGTCTATTTTTGTATGCCAGAATCTAGAGTAATTTCTCTAAAATGTCAATTTGATCATACCTCTCCCCTCTCTAATGCTTCTCTAATGTTTTAGCACAGTGATCAGCAAATTACGGCCAGTCACACGTTTCTACAAATAAAGCTGTATGGGAACACAGCTATTACTATTCACTTCTGTACTGCCCATGATTGCTCATATTAAAAAGTCAGTGCTAAGTAGCTGCAATGAAGACTATAAGGCTCCAAAAGCCTAAAATATTAAGTATATAGCCCTATATTGGCTGGCGCCGCGGCTCACTAGGCTAATCCTCCGCCTAGCGGCGCCGGCACACCAGGTTCTAGTCCCGGTTGGGGCGCCGGATTCTGTCCCGGTTGCCCCTCTTCCAGGCCAGCTCTCTGCTGTGGCCAGGGAGTGCAGTGGAGGATGGCCCAAGTGCTTGGGCCCTGTACCCCATGGGAGACCAGGAGAAGCACCTGGCTACTGGCTCCTGCCATCGGATCAGCACGGTGCGCTGGCCGCAGCGCACCGGCCGCGGCGGCCATTGGAGGGTGAACCAACGGCAAAAGGAAGACCTTTCTCTCTGTCTGTCTCTCTCTCACTGTCCACTCTGCCTGTCCAAAAAAAAAAAAAAAAAAAGTATATAGCCCTATATGGAAAACCATTTGCTGCTGACCACAAAAGCCACAAGTCCAACCACTTTAACAAATCTTCAGGGTCTGGACAAGTAGCTGCTGAATATTTCTCCAATCTGGACACTTTTTGTTTCCTTTGCTACCTAATCCTGCAACTCTAAATTCCTTCAATTCTTCACATGTGTCAAGTTCTCCTTTAACTTTAGGCCTCAGCAAATATTGGCCCTTTTCTTGGAACCCTTCATGACTGTGGGTCTCCTTTTAGAAGCTAACTCTTCCCACTCCCACCCCAATTCTGGTTTTGGTGCTTCTCTCATATATGCAAACCACATACCATACTATCATTACTTGACCACTCACCAAGGGCAGAAACTTCATATCTCCTACAAACTAAAGAGAGAAATACATCTAGAGTAGGCTCTGAGTTCAGCAGATCTGGTTTGATATTTGAGCCTTGCTATTTTCTAACTGTGTGATCTCTGGCTAGCCTACTGGAACATTAGTTTCCTCATGTGTAAAATGAAAAAAATGATAGTGTAGTATCCACCATATAGAGCTGTACTAGAGATAAATTATTTAACAATGTCCGGAGACAGGATTCTGTGTCTAGCATAGCACTTACTTGCATTAGGGGCTCGATAAGATTTGTTAAATTAATGTTATAAATTCTTAACTGCAGGTTTGGATTTTAATGTTATTTAACCTTTGTTTTTTAACAGAGGGTAAATTTCTGTATATGATGATTAATACACTTTATATTCATATATTCTTGAATAATACCTAGTACTGGAAATGACAGGTGCTTGATGGATGTTGGTAAAGCCAAACTAATTCTCTTCTGCCATACTTATATATGCATAGGAAAATTGGCCATTTAGAAGACTTCTCTCATATAATTACTTATCAAGAGAAAAACAAATATTAATCTACAAAGTCAATTACCTTTATTTTAAAAGAACAAACAAGTTACTTATGAAGTGAAGCCCACTAGCAAGTAGGCTTTAGAGTGTATGATTCTGTAGATAGTTACCAATGTTCTAAAAATCTCATATCTTAGAGGTCTGAAAATACACAAATATACACACAAACCAGTGACTTCTGTAGACCATTTGATTCCAAGTTTTCTTAAATTTTATATAACTGCTGCACTGTAAAATTTTGCAAACTATTACATTAGCATGAATAAGATCTGGGGCCGGTGCTGTGGCATAGCAGGTTAAGCTGTTGCCTGCAGTGCCAGCATGCCATACAGGCAGTGGTTTGAGTTCTAGCTGCTCCACTTCTATTCCAGCTCTCTGCTAATGTGCCTGGGACAGCAGCAGTACACCCTAAGTGCTTGGGCACCTTCACCCAAGTGGGCAACCCAGGAGAAGTTCCTGGCTCTTGGCTTCAGCCTGGCCCAGCCCTGGCCCTGTGGCCATTTGGGGAGTGAACCAGTAGATGGAAAACGTATTTCTCTCTCTACAGCTCTCAAAAAATAAATAAATCTTAAAAACAACAACAAAAAACATGAGCAAGATAGATCACCATATTTCTGAAGTGTGCAAGAAATGTGGTTTAAAAAGAAATATAATCAATAGATTAAAGGAGTATGAAGCCTTTAGAATGAAATGAAAATATATTCTAACATGAAGACCTAAACATAAGCTAATACATACATCTTGGGAAAATATTCGGTCTCTAGCTCTCTGGTACTCTTCTTCTCTTTCTTCTATAGATTTACTTCTTCTGTCATCTTTCAAACGTATTCTCATCTAAAGAAAAGAGAACAACTAACTCTTCTGAAAATGAATTACTGGTTTACGTTTTACACCTATAAAAATGCTATAATTGCTTAGATTACCTGATTATCATCTTTGTCAAAGCTAGAGTTATCTCTCTTAAGGATATATCGTTTCTGAAAGTCTTCACCTCTATCATCCTTAATATGTTCATTAAATTTTTGATCAGGTCTAAAAACAAAGGAACAAAAAAGGATAATGCATAATACTTAATGTAAATTTAAACATAAAATTTTATAAGAAGTCATAAAAAGTAATAAATGTTACCATTTACTGGTGCTATTAATAGGTATTCATGTTATCTCATTTAGTTCTCCCAATAATATCATAAGAATATACTAGGTATCCCATGCTATAGTTCAGAAGCCACATCAAATATAGTGTTTGCTCTGGAGTCAGACAGCTTCAGTTTAATATCACTTTACTTGCTTTAGGACTTGCCCCAGTTTCAATTAATCCTTCTATTCCACATTTTTCAAATTTGTAAAATGTGAATTACAGAGTATGTAAAATTCATAGGGTTGTTCTGAAGATAAAGTGAATTAACACATGACCAATACTTAAACAGTAAATACTCAGAAGAAGCTAGTTGTTACTACTGGAAAAACTGAGGTTCAAATGGGTTAAGCAATGGTGTATGGTCAAAAGGCAAGTGTAAAACTAAGCCACAGTTAATAAATAGTCCATGTATGTCAGATTTAATGTCTGCATATTCTGTTTATACAGCCTTCTCTAAATTTACAAAAACATTCTGGGACAAGTAAGAAAGTGCTAGATCTTGTATATTTCACTTTTTAAGATTTATTTATCTGAAAGAGTTACAGAGAGAGGAGAGACAGATGTTTCACTTTTATAGTATCTTTTTTAGTGTTGTTACCCAAAGTAATGATTATGAAATCTTAGCAGTGTATTTTATGGAACACTAATTTTTCCCCTATGGAAATGTTGTAAGTTCTACTGAAATCTAGAAGACAAACATTAAAAAAAGGTTGTTGACCTTGGACAATTACTATTCTATAAAACTTTACTGGCACCGGCACTGTGGCATAGCAGGTGAAGCTGCTGCGTGCCGCGCTGGCATTCCACATGGGTGCCAGTTAAAGTCCTGGCTGCTCCACTTCTGATCCAGTTCCCTGCTAATGTGCATGGGAAAGCAGCAGAGGATGGCCCAAGTACTTGGGCCCTGTACCCATGTGGGAAACTCGTAAGAAGGTCCTGGATCCTGGCTTCTGATCGACCCAGCTCTGGCCATTGTAGCCATTTGGGGAGCGAACCAGCAGATGGAGATCTCTCTCTTTCTGCCTCTGCCTCTCTGTAACTCTGACTTTCAAATGAATAAATAAATCTTCAAAAAAAAAATTTACCTCTCAAATTCTACCCTCAGTTCAACAAATTAATTCTATGAATACTCTTCTTAGTATCATTCTACTGCAAAATCAGAATGACTCATTTGAAACATATACATAAACACAATTGTATGCTATAAAGAAAATATAAATAAAAGCCTAAGTAGTTTTTTAAATGTACAATTCAAGTATATATTATGTAGCCATATAGTATATGTAAATACCACAAGGAAATTTCAAATTCAAATAAATCTGTGTCAATGACATTTTCAGCAAATTGAGACCATACATTTTATTATATATAGGGCCCAAATAACATATCCAAATATTTATTTTAGTCCATTTAATTTTTAATAAAGTATCTCAGCTTTATCCTGTCAAATCAAGTAAAAGAAAATGAGATTTATCTAAGCAAGCAAAGAAGTCTCTATCATCAAACAGACTTAGATGAGTAAAACAGATCAGAAAGGGGGAAAATAAGAGTGAAAACAGCTTCATGATCAAAATGATGAGAGAAATACTACTTTCTGTAGGGCTTTGAGATTGTCTATTTTAGTTGACAATGGTAGTATATTATTTTGTTTTATGATTGCTTCATTTACTAATATCATCTAATTTTTTAAATGTTCGAAGTTCCATTTGCTTATTCAAGGAGTTTCTATCAGTCAAATGACTGATTCCAAAGGAACAGTAAGATTTAAGCAAGGGCCTAGCAACTTTTCTAAGAGCAGCTGGATTCCCACACCAAATAGCATTGGCAGGCACTTCAGCTAACCTTAAGACTGTCTTACCTCTTTCTTTTATAGATGCCTGAATTTAGTGCCCTGCAATCGCCAACTTCCCGCTCCATTGAGACACCCCAGTGGACACCGGGTTGTTGACATCCACAACACCACTGGTTCAAGGCTGGAGCGGGTAATCTCCCTATGAGGAAAAGTAAGTTTGTTTTTATTCAATGTGGAGCAGATCTCTAAGGTTTTCTGATTTACAACCTTCTTCATATCCCAGAAGATATAAAATAAGAATACAGTGTAACTTCAATGATCTGAAATGTTTAGTTATAATTATGCTATTTACCCATATTTCTTTGAGTACATCATAAACAACTCTGCTTAAACTTCTGATTGCCATGATAAAGAAACCCTAAATCTTTCTGACATAATTCACAGAATTCAAATAACTGAGGTTACACTGTATTGAAAACCTTAGAGAGTCACCAGTCAAAATGTTAGTAAAAATGCCTGCTAACGTATGTGTGTTTGGGTATCCAGCAACTCTGAGTGATATTGGAAGATACTGGTTAAATGAATGATAGTACTCTTCATTTTTAGTTCAGCTTATATATTAATGGTTACTATCCTATTTCAGTCATGGTATAACTAACCAGGAAAAGACCAATTGTAAAGGATAATTAAAAACACTAAGGGACAGTCATATAAAAACTAAATCAGAATTGCATTTTCAGGTAACATTTTTACTAATGAAAAAAGATATCATTTTCCAAGATATCTAATTTAATTTTATTTTCGTTGTAGGAACAGAAGTTATTTATGGCATATGAAGTTGACTGCTGCTCATTAGCACAGACCTACTAAAGCCATGTGAAACTGACACAGAAAAATCTGTTGGAGAGGCAAATCAACACCAGAGTAGGCATTTCAGCTAAATTTAACTAGCTGCTTTAGGATTAGCTTTACAAATAGGCAGAAGAGGTATGGTGTGCATGTTATAACTTGAGTGCTTTGGCACTGAGCCTTCTGCTCCCAAATACCAGCACTTTAAATATATCCCATCAACACCACAAAAATAGTTATTTTGAAAATGAAAGGTCTCCTTCTCTTTTAACATTTTGCCTCAGTAAATTATACAATAGTTCAGGAAGAGAACACAGCATTACAGATGATATAGTTAATTCCACCATCTTATTAGTGGAAGAAAACAAAAAGAGGCTTTAGGAAAGGATTGTAAAATGAAAGATAATTAAATGTGACAGTGTCAAAAATAAAATTCTGCTTTTTTAAAATACAAATTTACCAGAGCAATTCTAATTACACTAATGCAAAAAGATTCATGAGAGTGATTGTCAAACATCACATACATGCTGAGCTTTTTTTGTTTTTTTTTTTTTTTTAAATTATGTGTTCCAGTCCTCATTTATCTGCCTTATTTAAGTCTAGGTTGGTGCAAGCTAAATGTATTTTTTGGTCCCATCACATAAGGCATCAAAACGCTTAAACTGCTGAAATGTGGAAAATCTCAGATGGATGCTAATGTAGGAAAATAAAGTGTTATGACATAGATATATAACATATATCTGCATGTCTTGACACTTACATTCTTGTATTGCTAGTTTTGTTTACGATGACAGACTTCCCACTCTGATCAACATTGTGGTCTAATCCAAAGTAAGCAGCTACTCTGTGTAATAGCATTCTGTGGTAAGATGTCATTGGGGGAAATTTTTTACGTGGAGACCTACAAGCAGAAGAATAATCTATTTAGTAAGTCAAGGAGAATGGTGATGACAATTTGTTTTCCAGTTAAATCTCAGGACTTACTCATTATTACCAATGAAATCTAAAATTTCTTGTTCCAATTTTAGCAGCATCATTCTGTCCCTGAAACAAAATATGAAGACTTACATGTAAAACTTCACAGTAAAGTAATCACAAATATCAACAGCTGAATTTATATGGCTAATTTTTTCCCTAAAAACTATATATTCAGAATTTTCAAAAGCTTAATGCAAAAATATTTACATGCCTTAAAAATAGTAGTGTTCTAAAACAATGACAGGTAACTTTTTATAACTGTAGACATTATTATAGAAATTTTCACATATGCAGAAAACAGTGTAATAAATCTTGAATCATCCCCCAACTTCAACATTATCAAAACATGGGTATTCTTAAATGCATTCTGATCTGCTAAGTATCACTATATTAGAGTTTTTTGTTTGTTTGTTTAAATATGAGGGTAATAAGAGCATATTAGTTTTACTTTCTCATTTACTAAGATGGGAGGTAGTAGGGAAGCAGATTTCTTTAGTTATGCTTATGACTTTGTTATTATTTTTATTTTTTATTTTATTTTTGAATTTTAACAGAGTTGTTGGTAGCCTCTGTTTAGGCCTTGAGTTTGATCTTCTTTGAGCATTGCCAAAAAAAAAAAAAAAGGTACCTTTCCCCCCAATTCTTCCATTCAATAATTCAATAAACATTTAATCAACATTTTAATAGTACTTTAAAAAATCACAAGAAACACATGACAAACTGGTGATTATAAACCCAGAGCTCAAAAACAGGATTTCAGTTCAACATAAATTCTAACAACATTCAATTCTGTCCTCATTTTTTATTCTCCTGCATTATTGGCTATCTTGGTAAGCAGCACCATTTATACCTTGTATATCACACCAGAAACTAAAGAATTTAGGCTTGTTACTATGTCTTAATTAATTCTAAATGCAAATTTTAACTACTTTCTATATTTCTATATTTCCATGGCTATAATCCTGGATCCAAGAAGTTGAGATTTCTAGTTTGTCTACTTTTAAAAAAATGTGCTTATTTATCTGACAGGTAGAGTTACAGAGAAAGAAGGAAACACAGAGAAGGATCTCCTATCTGCGGGTTCACTCCCCAAAAGGCCACAACAGCCAGGGTTGGGCCAGGTTGAAGCCAGGACCAGGAGCTTCATCTGGGTACAGGGGCACAACGACTTGGGCCATCTTCCACTGCTTCCCAGGTGCATTAGCAGGGAACTGTGTTGGATGTGGAACAGCTGGGACTCAAACTGGCACCCATATTGGATGTCAGCATTGTAGATGGTAGCTTTACCCACCGTGCCACAAGCCCGGCCCCTGTGGTTAATCTATTTTAACCAAGGCATATTGTTTCTTCCACAGCTTCTTCCTAATCTAATCTAAGTGGGAGCATATGTAATAACTTAAGAATACATATGTGATTATAGACCACTCCCTTTAACTATGTCATGAGCTTCCCAGTGGTCATAGAACTGCACATTTATAATGCAGGTGACAAAGCAGTGGTAAGCTGGTTGCATTTCATCCAGATCTGTAACCTCATTTCCTGATCTAAACTTACAAGTCTTATCATCCTGGCTTATCTTTATATTCCATAAGCTTCTTTCTCAGGTTCCTTAAACATGTTGGTTCCTTTGCCTAGAAGAACCTCTTACATTCTTTCTTAAAGTCCATTTCTTCCATATCTTTAGAAATAGCATATCATAATCAAGTAATTGGGAACACTCGCATGGAGAGTATATACATTAATAAACATTTTATCTTGAAGGTTTTTTAATATTTTTCTTTTCAATACAACATAGGACCACTCCCATCCCAAAGACTTACTAACTTATATAGGATACTCTCCTCATCTAAGCAGTTGAGGACAATTATCTTGAGGTGATATAATTTTCAATACCTTTTAGGACATATTCTATACATTGTCTCCTTGTTAAAATCTTTAGGCAAGCAATTTAGAGTTCACAGAAGAGTGTATTTATTTATTTATTTATATAAAGATTTATTTGATTATTTGAGAGGCAGAGTTATAGATAGAAGGAGAAACAGAGAAGATAAGTCTTGTATTTGCTGGTTCACTCTCCAAATGGCTACAACAGCTGAGCTGGCCCGGTATGAAGTGAGGAGCTTCTTCCAGGTCTTTGACATGGGTGCAGGGGCCCAAGCTCTTGGGCTATCCTCCACTGCTTTTCGAGGCCACTAGCAGAGAGCTTGGTTGGAAGAGGAGCAACTGGGACAGGAATCTGGCACCCAAATGGGATGCTGGTGCCACAGGCAGAGGCCTAACTTATTACGCCACAGTGCTGGCCCCAAAAGAGTGTGTTTAAATTGTTTTTTTGTGCTTGAACTAAACAACAAGGATGAGATTATTCCAAGTGTTCTTTACTGAATTACTGCCATTGAAAAGAAATTTCTATTGTGTTCATGAAGAAAATAAAATCTATTATTTAAAATAAGCTTATTACAAACATAAAAATGATGTTTCCCAAAGTCTTAATATTTACACCTTCTACATTTTCTTCTGTAGCTAAGTCCACGCTTCAAAATTCTCAAATCTGTAACCAAAGTAAGATATTTCAGCAATGGTCATAAGTTAAAAGTTATTTCTTTATATGAGAACACAGTAATCTCTTTTATGCAGTAGAAACCATTCAGAAATATGCATAATTACTGAAGTTGCTAGCGTGTAGCCTTTAAAATGAACCAACACATGCTATTACTGCATAACTAATAAAAACAAAGATTTCAGTAAAAATGACCAGTTAAATATTAACATTAAAATTAAGAGCCAACAATCTTTCAGTTGTTAGTGTTCTAGTCTTTGTATCAGAACAAAATTTAGACAGTATGTACAGCTGGTACACCAGTAGCAAACAAATGCAGAAAATAATGCTTCCATATGACCACCTCTTACCCAGTATTTCATATGCTATTGGTCAAATCTCTCTAAAGAATAAGATGACTTAAACATTATCTCCAATAAAAGTAACTTTAAGAAGATTTTTCAAAGACACAACAATTACATGATATTCTACAGCAAAACATATTATTTTAAAACTACACATTCTCAGGTTTAATTCATGGGGTGACTCCCCTCTGTTGGTTACATAATATAGCTATCTGTATTATCCATTTTTTTTCAACATATGGAACTTACATAACATGGCTATGAAATCAACACAAAAATAGGTAAAAAGTTATGCCAGTTAAGTAAAATTCCTATCAAGGAAGCCTTCAAGTTCCTAGGTTATAATTCAGTAATGACTATAGTTAATGAGGTCTCTGCATTTTTTGCAAATAGGAACTCCAGATACCTCATTTATTTAATATCTGAAATCAAGTCTGCTATTCGGCTGTGAAGAAGATAAAGAAGATTTAATGATGTGAACAAAAATTTAAAAAGAAAATGATCTAGCAAGATATACTAAATTTTACTATCAATAAAAATAAATCTGCTTAACATCTAGTAGAATTCTCCAGGTATTATCCAATCTTGACAACTTAAGTGGAAATCTGCCAAACTTGTTACTAATTCTGCACCATATGTATCTGGCAATCAGCTGTGTGTTTCACTGAGCCATTTATTAAGCAAACTTTATTTCTCACCAAAGTAACAGTAGCTTCAAGTTCCTAAACCCACACTGACATTAGTAATAACTTATACATTACTTATTACATGAATTACTTATCTGTATAACTCAAATAAAAATGGATACACAAGAATACACCTTGACAAGAGTACATTAAGTAATTAAAGCCAGTCACAACAGACCATATGTTATGTAATTTCATTCAGATAAGGTATCCATAAAAGGACATTTATAAAAACAGAAAAAATTAAGGCAGAATAATCTATTAATTTATTTTCATTATTAGCATAATAATGGCTTAAAGATCTGAACTTCTTTTTGAGGTGATGAAAAAGTTAAAATTGATGGTGGTGATAACTGCACATATCTGTGAATATACTAAAAACTTGTAGATTATACACTTAAACATGTACATAACAATGATTTAAAAACTTTTTCATTTACAGGAAAACAGAACTGAATAAAAAAATTGATTTGGAATGCATAAAAATGGACTCCTAATCTTTATCCTTTGCTGATGTCTTTCTTTTATGTTCAGAGGAAAGAAAAATTCCACCAGTTTAGGATCATATCTTGTTTTACTCATACTATCTATGTACTCCCTACTTTCCTGCCTATTCTTCAAACCAGTAAGTTCTGATTTCTGCCATCCTATTTCCAAATGAGATGATTTGTTAAAGACGCCAATGATTTCTTAACTTCCCAATGTAACAGACTCTTTTGGGTATTTCTATGTTTTTTAAAATTTTTATTAATATAAAGAGAACAGATTTTCTATAGGTATTCTATAGATATAGAATTCTATAGGTATTCTATAGGTAGAGTTCCAAGAAGACAACCAAACTTCTTCCCTCACTCCCCTGCTACCCCCCAATCCACTCGCTCCCTTCTCTTCATCAGTTTTTACAAAGCCATAATTTTAATCCATTCTATATTCCAGGATGGGTATTTCTATTTTTACCTCCCTCTGTTATTTCATCTTTGGTGGAACTGTTCCCTTTGCTTGATGTCTAGGACAAATGTTGCCATGATTCTTCTGTCTTTAGAACACAAGTCTTTCCTTTCTCATCTACTTTTTAAATTCTCTGTTGAGAATTTCAAACCATATTTACAACAGGACATATCTGTTCTTTCATGCTTGCCACTTACTTTCTCTGTTCACAGAACTATCAACCAATCAGGAATCTAGAAGCCATTCTGTTCTACTCAGTTGGCCCCATTACCTGGTCATATATAAAAGATTATCAAATCCTGGCATGGTACTTCCTAAATTATCTTTCAAATATATCTTTTCCTCTCTGCTCTTTCCTATGGTCTCTTAATGACCATCCTTGTTCATGGTCTTCTCTGTAAAAAAAATGTTTCTTATATGTCAAAGTAATCTTTCTAAAATGCAAATCTGATGCTGGCATTACCTATTAAAAATACTATAATTATTCCTCAACTTCAAATGCCACACTCAGTATTTCTCAACTAGTACGCTGTTAGTATTTCAAGTCAAACAATTTTTCAGCTTTAGATGTATTTTTAGCATTCCACACTCACTGGGGTAATCAAAACGGTCTCGACATATTTCCTCATTACTGCAGTGTATTGAGATTATGTTAGGTTGATGAAAACTCAGTGTATTTTATGCTTCTTACCAACACTTTCACCATCATTTTCTAGAATCATTTGTCCCACACCTTTGCTAAGACCAGAGGGTAAAAATGTATCTTTTTTTGGATATGGCACCTCCTCTCTCACACTACTATGCTTTGGTTAATTCTTGTCTAACTGAGATGCTTTTCTCTCTTTTTTGTGTGAACTCCCATTGAAAGTGCTCTAAATTCAAAACCTGGCTCTGGCACTAGTTTTTCAGTGAAGTCTTCCCATATTTTTTTTTGGACAGGCAGAGTGGACAGTGAGAGAGAGAGACAGAGAGAAAGGTCTTCCTTTGCCGTTGGTTCACCCTCCAATGGCCGCCGCGGCTGGCGCGCTGCGCCGATCCGGTGGCAGGAGCCAGGAGCCAGGTGCTTTTTCCTGGTCTCCCATGGGGTGCAGGGCCCAAGCACCTGGGCCATCCTCCACTGCACTCCCGGGCCACAGCAGAGGGCTGGCCTGGAAGAGGGGCAACCGGGACAGAATCCGGCGCCCCGACCGGGACTAGAACCTGGTGTGCCGGCGCCGCTAGGCGGAGGATTAGCCTAGTGAGCCGCGGCGCCGGCCGAAGTCTTCCCATATTTCAAACAGAGTGTGAGGCCTCTTCTCTGGCTGTTAACAGCACGTTTGAAAAACATCTTCTAAAATATTTGTTCTATTTTGATTAATTATCATGTGACTTTTTCAAGTACAGAGATAGCAAATAATTTAGGGTCAGAAATTGTATCATGTTCATATTTATATGTTATAAATATATATAAACATGTTTATAGCACATTGCTTGGCCTATTCAATGGACTAACAAATTCATCTTTCCGTTGGTACTGCTGAAGAACAAACTTGAACTGAAATAAAAATTTGTTTATACTCTCCCTCTGTATCTACTGTGTTCTAGTTCCATTATTAAGAAGACTCCTTCTGGGGCCAGCGCTGTGGTGGAGCAGGTAAAGCTGCTGCCTGCAGTGCTGGCATCCCATATGAGCGCCAGTTCAAGTCCCAGCTGCTCCATTTCCTGTCCAGCTCTCTGCTATGGCCTGGGAAAGCAGCAGAAGATGGCACAAGTGCTTGGGCTGCTGCACATGCTTGGAAGACCCAGAAGACGCTTCAGGCTCCTGGCTTCAGATAGGCCCCGCTCTGGCCATTGCAGCCATCTGGGGAGTGAACTAGCAGATAGGAGATCTCTCTCTGTCTCTGAGTCTGCCTCTCTTTCAAATAAATTAAAAAATCTTAAAAACACACACACACACATTTTAAATGAATAACACTAAGTTCTTACTTGGTCGAGTACATTATGGTGTTATGTATTTTTCTTTATTTCTCATAATTAATCATACCTCTTAATCTCAATCAAGAGACTAATTAGCTTAGTGATTCTGTTTTTCCCTAAAATCCTAAATATAGTATGAATTACTACTGTATCATAGTGATATATATATAATGTAAAAAAATTTATACATGTGTATATAGTAGATCAACAATATCTATGTCCTAAGAAACTGTTTCTTGTATACTTCAAATATTTGCAATCTAATTCTATATTCTATCTCAAGAATAAAAACATATAACAGCAAAATTAAGGTACTCTAGAAGAACTGTAAATATTATAAATTTAATTTTTACCTGGGATTGTTTTTTAATGTGTTTACTAAAAATTCATGTAGATCTATGCCAGTTGAATCAGTGTATTCTTGACTGGAATCTAAAAAACAATAAAACAAAAATCCAGTAGAAAGCTGTTTGAAAACAAATTCCTCTCCCTTTTACACATGATGTGTATTTTAGATAAAACAAGATACCCCACATTGAAAAAAAAAAGCTGACAAAGCAGAAAAAGGGTATTTATAAGGACTCTGAGACATACTGCAGTATTTGGCTAAAGCATCTTACTGACATACAGAACAGTGTTACACCGTTTTGCCCAAAACTACATCACCCCTCCAGTTGGTTTTTATCACTTGTAATACAGATAAACTATATGTAACTATTTGAGGGTAAAGGATGGAACAATAATGAAACATAATTTTGTTTAAAAAACACAAAAATAAATGGCAAACCTCTTGATAACATTTTTCTGGGCAACTTATCGCTGGCTTTTTCTTTTTCTGCTTCATCTTTTGAGGGCTTCTCCTCTTTTTCAAATGATTGTGTTAGCTGGATCTGAATTCTCTCCTGTTGGAAGGCAAAAATCAGTTATTTGATGAAACTATAAAGTGAGTCATTTAACACTACCCATTTATAATTTGGGGTAACACATCGTTGTATGGAGGAAAAAAGGAAAAATATGTTTATTTTACCCAGTTAGAGTCTCCAAACTAGAAAACACTTTAATAAGTGAAATGCTATCCTCAAAATTATTTTAGAGAAAATATTCCTATTAAAGTTGAAGAGCACAGACTTATAAAACCATTGAAGGGTTAGTTCTTAACATATTTATGCAATAGAGTTTTTTAGCAAAAGCATAATTATCAATCAACAAGAAGAGTGTCAATAATAAAAATTAGGTTTTGAGTATCCATTAAATTATCATATATTTTTTCATTCTCTGCTATATAACAATTTAGATATGAAACTTTCCTAGACCAGAGACATACGACTTAGATTATTTCCTATTTGAGACTTACATATCACTGTTCCTCCTTAAATCACCATAACAATGTTTTAGAAAGATTTCAAATAAGATTGTATTTATTCTAGATATGTGATGGTGAATTGTATAGAGCAACCACATTTTATAAGAGAACTAATTTCATATTAAGTTTTAACAACAATGACATTACATGCAACTTCAAAACCCAAAGGACTACCCGAAATTAACAGCCTGAAAAGGGGAAAAAAAAAAATCACACAGAGTTCTTTTATTCAAAGTTACCAAGAAAGCTAGAATAAATTCCTGACTATTTCTACTAAAGATAAAGGTTATTTTAGACTAAGTTGTAGTTTTTAAAAAGGTTAATTATTTGTTTTCATCAATTTGAAAAGCAGATTTGAGAGTGAGAGAGTTCTTTCAACTGCTAGTTCATTCCCCAAATGCCCCTAACAGCTGGGACAAGGACAAGGGCAGGGGTAGGGGCATGGCTAGAGCCACGTGAGAGGTAAAAGCCAGGAACTCCTTCTGGATCTCCCACTTTGGTGGTAGGGACCCAAGTATTTCAGCCATCACCAGCTGCCTCCCAGGTGTGCATCTGCAAGGAGCTGGATCAGAAGTGCAGAGCAGTAGCTACAAAAACCAAGCAATCTGATATATGGAGTGCAGATATCCCTGTGGCAGCTTAACCAGCTGTGCCACAGGCCTGACTCTATTGTTGGTTTTCAGGGTGGCAGTGTTATCAGCAAGGTTAGCAAGTTAGTATTAAAGGGAATGTAAATTTCAGGATTCTAAACTTGCAGGCAGCAGAACTGCTATTATATTTATTTATTCCTCTGCTTAATTTTTTCAAAATAATCTTTGGCAAAATTTCAAATACTTTTTTAACCCAGTAAGTTTGCTACCTGTTAGTTTCAACTCTATCAATTCTTCCCATTCCATCTCAGTTCACATTTATGCCCAGAATATAGGGCAAATGTTATGCACTGTCAATTTTCACTTCATGTCCTTTCTATCTTGTTTACCAAAACTGGCAAGATCATTACATTTATCAATCTGTATGCTATTTTTCTCACACTGATACTTTTCCTAATCCATTTTTCTTACTATTTTCATAAATATAAAACAGATATTTAGAAATAAATTCCAGAACTATTTCTCAGAAGTAGAATATTAAGAACCTTTCCTGATTTGAAATGTTTATTAAAAGTAAGCCAATAATTTCAGGTTGGGAGAAAAGATTTCATATTACCTTTCCTTAAACCTTCTCTCAAAGGAAATTACAATGACTAGCATATTTCATGTACAAGTTCTCCCCCAAAAGTCACAGATTTTGATTATAGATATTAAACTGTTTTATCAAGATGAACTAGATGTAGCAAGGCCCTGTCTTCAGTTGGCCCTATTTTAAGTTGTGAATAAACAAGACATGTTTTAAACACTTAAGACCTTATACATGAAGTCTTCTGACTATAAATAGCTGTAATGATAACAACATCTCCAAAGGAAGCCTTAATTCCTTTATTCTCCCTTCTGATGACATCTGCTACTGAGGTAACTTCCCTCTCATAAGCTCTCATCAGATACAAGTGACAGCTTTGCTTTAATTGCCTTGCGATTTTTAAAATAATGATTCAAAGATTAATTCCTCAAAAATCATATTCTGAATCAAGCAAATTAGTTGCAAAGTGTTTCTATGGCAAAGGTTTAGATACTAGAACATTTTATGAGGAATAATTTATTTTCTGAATCCCATTCAGGTGCAACTTAGTTAACCCAAGGCTTGGAAAAATAGTTTCTACTAAAAAAAAAAAAGGGTATCTTTTATTCAGAGGATAATTAAAGGTCATTATCAAAGGAATTATTGTATCCAAAAGAAATTGACAAAGAATATATTAAGCAGAATAGCTAAGTTCTGAGATAACCACTTTTGTATTATCCTTATTATCTAAGTCATCTTTTTGAACTGTAAACACAAAAATTATCAATGATCAATAATGTATTAGAAATATATTTCTGACATTTTTTCTCATATAAATTTGCAATAGCCAAATTTTTGTAGTATCATAGGAATTTTCCCCCAACATTTCTCACATATGATAAAAGGCAATGAGAAAGCCACAGATAACGTTACAGTTTGTCTCAGTAAGTACAGTGTGCTGTCTTTGCATTAACAGACTTGCGAATGTCTAACTCATCTCACCTCCTCCTCAACCTTTGACTATAATGCCATGAAGCTAAGACATTTTTGTCCACAGAATGAAGAAATAAATTTTAAAAAAACACTCACTCTACTATCCTACCCTCCACAGTGAACAGATGTGTTCTTCACCCTGATTGTACAAAAGAACTTCTAAAAATTATTTATAAAATAATTTCACTGACTTTTTGAAGAGTGCATTACATCTTTTCAGCTTTATCAACAGCCACGCAAAAGTCAAAGGTTTATATTTGGAAATGTTCTCGAGGTAACAATGTTTGGTTAAATATTTTTACTACATTTCTGCTTTTCGCTAGAATGTATGTCATTATACTGCTAAATTATATCTATTTTACAAAACAAATGTATCTAGCTATCTCTTAGTATAATCTCTTACATTTAAATGGATGAAATGAATCAATCTTTTATTGTTAACTGTGAAATATCAGATTTTTAAGTCTTTTCACTGACAACAAGTAAGAAATTAAAAAATTTCTTTTCCTCACTGTTTGAGAATAAAGTATGGTGCTTTTTAAAAGCAAGACATATTCTAAATATATGACAACTTATGGCATCTCTCATTTTTTGAAAGTATCATCTAATACAACAGAAAAGCATTAGTTTTTGATTGAGTCACCAAAAGTACAGTTGGTACTTATCTTTTTTTAAAAAAAGTGTACAAATGCCATGAGTATTTCTTTTTCAAGCAGACATGACTTCTTAACCACAAAGCTGCCCCTATTCTTGAGAAAATGCTGAAATACAGGATCATTTTGGGTGTTAAATTCTTCTAAACTGGATAAACCACTAACAGATAAAGCTATCACACTGATAAACATTGCTAATGGGTCCAAAAACATTTACACATAAATATCCAAATGTTCCTTGAGACTGATAGCTGAGACTAACAGAGAAGTCACAGCATTAAAAAGGATATAACAAACTGAGTTTGCTTGGGTCTCATATTTCTATATTTTATAATACACACAAGAGGAATTAGAAGTGTTAGACAATCTTAAAAGAGTCACACTAAAATGAAAACTAGCTTCACCACATTTTTAGGTTAAGGAAAACAGCACACCAGGCAGAAGTGTAAGGCAGTTTTCTTCATACAGAAGCAGTATTTGACAAATTTCTGAAAGCCAAAATGAAGAGGACAAATTTCATCACAGTTATGAAGCATTACTTTAATATTTCCTAACTTTTCAGGAACAATTTAGAACTCTCTCAAAGCCACATTCCCAGTTAATTATATGATTCCAAAATCATTACGCTAGGCCTTAGCCTGAAGCAAAGTTTTTTCAACATTTCATCTGTACCTTGGGTGGCCACAATTACCAAAGCAGCTGCAAGCAGTAAAAATAAAACAAACATAACACACACACACACAAACACACTCAATTTTTATTCAGTCATATGGAAAAATATTCTCCAGTTCCACCATGTCTTCAAAGAATAATTTTTTTTTTTTTACTCATCTCTACCTGGTTATCCTGTGATATCTCTGCTGCAGGTGGTGGTGGAGATTCTTCACATACTGCAAGGCTCCGAACTAGCTTTAACTTTGAGCTTGACTGAAGAGAAGTATTTAAAGTTAACACTACATTTCACAAATCTAGGGCATTTCCAAAAGTCCCTAGAGAGTTTAAGTTTCTGTCATGTACAGAAGTAGATGAAATGTGCAAGTTAAATATATTATTAAACATCACTAAAGCCCTTTGTTAAGAGGAAAAACAAACAATTGCAGTTTTGAAAAATATAGCAATAGCAAGAATGGGAATAATTCCAACTTCAAAACCCAAAGAATGGTGAGAGAGCGATTTTCTCTATAAGGAACCATCAAAGATTAAAAAAAAGCAATGCACAAAAGCGACTAGGCAAGACAAAAACCCCAAATAAAAAAAAATAAGCTTTCTGCCCCAAACAAAATATGAAAAAAACTAAACTGAATGTAGTGCTATATGAAAACGGGATTCATCAAGCATGAAGGGAAGCCCTTGGCATGCCAGCACACCAAAATGTTTACTATACCTTAGACCTTTTTCCTGTCTGTCCAAATGACTGCAATGGTCGCTGAATACACAAGAAAGATTTGTATTAAATTTCACACTGCAACAGAAAATTTACTTCTTAATTCACAAACCTAAACCACAGAAAAACTAACTGTGCACAAAATATGGAAAAAGAGGAAATCAAAGTTAATTTCAGTGTAAGACTACTGATTCCTCCCAGAAGCACACTTGTAGAAGATTCTCAAAACTCCTTCTGTGGGCTGGCATTTTTTCTTTGAGTCAGCAAATGGCCACAATTTGTGAATAACTTAGCTTAGTGGAATTTATAAAGTGATTTCTTAGTAGCAAAATAAAATATACTTCTTTAGTATTTTATAAGATATTATACTTTAGTCAAGGCGGGTGTGGGGGAGAATTACATACACAAGAAAGCTCAGCAATTTTAAGTAGCTGATCTCAAAAAGTTTCAAACTTACTAAGGAGAATGTTTCAAATGCAGAGTAAGTCAGAGTACAGCCACATCTCTACTGAGCCATTTTAGCACTTTATGTACTACGTTAGTAACAGAATCCTATTTTCCAGGTCTGGACGTAAGGCAATGAAGCAGAGAAGATGGAAAGAGGTCAGACTTCTCATGTGGATGTTTAGAATGACAGACAGATCATCAGTAACATGTCTGGAGAGCCAGCTGGAGCATATAGCTGCAGCTCAGTATATGTGGCTTTGGTTTGGGAAACCAGCTGAAGTGCATGTGATCAGAGCCAGACAGGTTTTAAACACTCTTTACTCCTACCTCCTTCTAATGTACATGTCCAAAACCAAATTGAAATAGCCCAAGGTTTAGATATCTATCATTTATATTCATAAATACCAGGGAGCCAGTTCGGTAGTAAACATAAAGCAGATTCAAAGTTGTTAACAACTAGACTAGTAGGCGTCACCTAAAAATGGTGAGGAAAAATAAAGTCACCATTTAACTAAAATATAGAAAAAGGTCTTCCTTGTCACATATGGTGAAACAAGTCTATAGTACCAGCATGTCCTGCCATTTATTGAGTCTAAAGTTTTTCAAAGATAAGAAGCTTCATATTTTTGGAATTTTGACTATGGACTACATAGACTACAAATTATGAATAGCAACAAGAAAAAAATAGGAAAAAATAAGGAAACATTTTTTCTATTTCAGTCAGAAAAAACAAAACCAAATCAAACCTAGTATAGGTGTATGCACACAAGTGTCTAAGATAGTGCTGCCCAAGAGGGTTGCTGCATATTGGTAATGTCTTCAGTTTTCACTTACTTTCTTTTTAAATTTAGTCAAGAGGATTTCTAATTGCAACTCACATCTAAAAATTGAAGAAAAAGGAGGTTGGCATTGTGGCACAGCAGGTTATGCCAGCACCTGCAATGCCAGCATCCTGTATGGGTGCTAGTTTGAGTCCTGATTGCTCCACTTCCCATCTAGCTCCCTGCTAACACACTTGGAAAAGCAGAGGAAGAAGGACCAAGTGCTTGGACAGCTGCCACCCACATGGAAACCCAGATGGAGTTTCTGGTTCCTGGCTTCAGACTGGCCCAGCTCTAGATGCTGTGGCCATTTGGGGAGTAAGCCAGTGGATGGAAGATATCTTTCTGTCTCTCCTTCTCTTTCTGTAACTCTGCCTTTCCAATAAATAAAAAAACTAAATAAATAAAAATTGAAGAAAAAGAAGTTATGCTACCAAAGAGTCACGGCTTCCATGGCAAAAAAGTGGGAGAAAAGCAACAAATACTAGTAGAATGCACATGACTAAATGAGTTCTGAGGAAGTAGAAGGAAAAGAATTTGTGACTCACTTCCATCCTGTGTTATTCTTTTTTTTTTTTTTTTTTTTTTTTTTTTGACAGGCAGAGTTGGACAGTGAGAGACACACAGAAAGGTCTTTGGCGCACTGCGCCGATCTGAAGCCAGGAGCCAGGTGCCTCCTACTGGTCTCCCATGCGGGTGCAGGGCCCAAACACTTGGGCCATCCTCCACTGCCTTCCTGGGCCACAGCAGAGAGCTGGACTGGAAGAGGAGCAACCGAGACAGAATCCGGTGCCCCAAACATGACTAGAACCCAGGGTGCCGGTGCCGCAAGCGGAGGATTAGCCTAGTGAGCCGTGGCGCCAGCCAATCCTGTATTATTCTTAAGCATCAAGGTTATAAAGTCATCTATTACAAAAGTCTAAGATAAAAGATGACTAATCAATATAGTAAATGCTGTATTCATATGAAGAGAATTGGACTAAAATTTCTGGTTTGATTTTTACTCAGTGACCATAGACAAATTACTTTGGTATCCTCTTCTTTTTTTTTGTCCCCCCCACCCCCTTCTTTTTTATTGGAAAAGCAGAGAGACAGATGAAAAGTAATTGTCTATCCTCTAGTTCACTCCCTGAATGTCCACAATATGCAGGACTGGGCCAGGCTGAAGCCAGGAGCCCAGAACTCAATCCATGGGTGGCAGGGACTCAGCACTGGAGCTATCAACTGCTGCCTCCCAGGGTGTGTATTAGCAACAAGTTGGATCGTAAGCAGGGGAGTCAGCACGTGAACCAGGCACCTCGCTACGGGATCCAGGTGTCCCAAATAGTGACTTAACTGCTGCTCCACCTGCCTGCCCCCTCAGTTTACTCCTATTTGTATTATTGTCACATTATTTTCACTAAGTCACAGGGTCCTTGAAAAGAGTCAAATAAGTGTTTGATTTAAAAAAATGGAGTTTTGTAACCTAAAACACTATATAAAAGTAAGATTATTAAAGGTTAAGAACCTAGATGTCAGAAAACCAATGCCCCGCTTCTACTTACTAGTCAGGAGATTTCAGATAAGTTACTTAATATATCAGTAATTCTAGTTAGAATATTCATAGACTAACACAGTAACTATTTCAGTTTTAATTCACTTGAGTCTTTGATGAGCAAAGTCAGACTGTCTTAATTTGACTTCATTTAACTAATACATTCTGAATTCCTGCTGTACACCAGATACCATGCCAGGCACTGAGGCAATGAAGAAGAATAAGGCACAATTCTTGGTCACAATTCTAGGTCACAAGGACTAGCTCCCAGTCTATAATCAGAGTTATTACCAAACAGCCAAATAGAACCCATGATGTTCAGAATTTAGTTCAATGTACTTTATACTATACCTGTTGTGTAATAAATAGCCACTTTTGTACACAGAATTTTAAAGATGTCCCCCCACTGGCTATTTAATCAAACACCAATCCGGGTATGGCTGTGAATGTATTTTATACATGTAACTAAGCCCCAACTCAGCTCATTTTAGGACACAGACTTAAAGTCAAGTTCTCCCTTTAAAAGCTGAGAATTTTCTCCAGTTGGAAGCAAAAGGGCAAGTAAGAAAGACTTAAAATGTGAGAAGGACTCGACATACCATTGTTGGCTGTGTAGACAGAACAGCCATGTGAGGAGCACAGGCAGCCTTTAGAGGCTGAAAGGCTGATACAGTCAGCCCGGAAACACAGGCCTTGGACCTAACACAAGGAGCTCAGGTCTGCTAATAACTAGATTAAGCCTTGAGGTAAATTCTTCCCCTGAGTTTTCAGAAATGGGCCCAGCCTGCTGACAGCTTTGATTTCAGCCATGAAAAACTCTAAGAAGATAATCCAGCTGAGCCTGCTCTGAGCTGAAAAACGAGTGCTGTTTTAAGCCTCTGGGTTTCTGATGACTTGTTACACAGCAATAGAAAACCAATGCACAAATATATAAGTAAACTATTGCATTATTCAATAAAATCACTTATTTCATTTCATTTCAAATAGCAAAGAAACTGAAATTACATAATAGATACTAGAAAATCTGCCATACACACATGCACACATAACAAAGCAGACAAAACAAGTTCTGTTTATTAAACAGCATGTATTTCGGCTTTTTTGTTATGAACTTGACAGCCATATTTGGCTTCAAATAGGAATTCTCCTGTTTTTGAATATAATTATTAAAATGGATTTATTATTTAGACCATACTTTGCCTGTTAGAATTTCATCACCGTTCAAAATTAGTAGCTTGTTCAACAGACCTTTACTAGTCCACAGACATGCTAATTAAATTAGAATTCAGAAAGCTTACAAAGTCTCCGATTTTTAATTTACATTGTTTTATATTGAAGTTCAGGACAGGAACTAGGTTAACAAATGAGTGCAAAATATGAAGATTCCTTAATAAACAGTATGAAATTGGTATTTATACATTGTCAGAGGTACTGAATACTAGAGTTTGGAGAAAAAAATAAAAAAGAACATGATAATTTTTACGTGTTAGAACTAACTGCCAATTAAATATAACTTAATCATGACAAAATCTGATTTCAAAAAGGGGATTCTTTTTCATTTGTCATGAATAATTACTATGAACAAAATAAATTATAATGGTTGAAACCATTCAATCATTGCTCAATGCACCTTGAAGAGTTTGCTAATTCTTACTGAGTATTCTAGGTAATAGTAAGGATTAATGGTAATTATGTAGGAGAATACAATGATATGCAATGTTCAATATCTAGCTAAAGGTCAAGGACAATAAAAACAAATGTCAGTGTAGAAATTCCTACTGGAATAACAGAAAACAACAAAGTTGGCTCTGAGTTGGGAGAGCCGAATTTTTATTTAAATTAATAAAATAACAAACCAAACATAGCCAACAATTTATTTCCACCATTTGACAATTTGGGCTATAGAACACAGGGTGAAATCTCCAAAGGCTGAGTGTCAAATCCTCAGGGAAAGTCCTTGAGAAAGTCACAGGCTGGTTTACAGTTACCCCTTGTACTAAATGAAGCTAAATAATGTCCCCACCCTACTATTGTTGTACATGAAAATTATCTAAGGAAGTTAAATTAGAAGGATTAGCATTCCTACACAGGAAAGATGTATTCAACAACTTAAAAAGCATCAGAGTAAAGCACTATGAAAAGCAAATACATTTACAAATGCATATGTGCATTAACCCAAGTTCAACAGAAAGAGTACCAAATCCTATAAACAATTTTAAAAAGTATATGATGAGAAGTCC